TCATTCATTATAATCAGGAGAAACTCAAATAGTTTATTGCTATTTATGTTTTGCTGTTACAGAAAAAAATTAACTGTCTTTTTTTTCATAGTATGAAATGCAGCAAAGACCAGCACTGAATCAGCATGTGATTGAAGCTGCGATGAAGAAAAGTGCACCCCAGAACCTGACCTACTACTTTTCTGCAATGAGAGGAGCTGCTGAATCAGGCGGCTACAATGCCTGGCCACCCAACACGGCCCTTCACAGCAGGCCCCAAGTCTCCAACTGGCCCCATCCTTTGGACATGCCTCATTTTGACTACCATGGTGTGTTCAACCCTCAGAATATGTGCTCGCTTCCAGATACCGACTTTAAAGCAGGGGAGCAGATCAGCCGAGCAGTTCCTACCACTGCCATAGGACAAGGCACTGCTCAGTAAAGTCCATGAATGCTTTTATAATTGTTTAGCCATCAATTTTCTGAATGTAGTTTGTAAATAACATGGGTCTTGTCTGGCCAGTTGTACTGTACATATGCAGTCCTATGTATGTTCACACTTCTGTTCAGGGAGAGTTTTATCATGAAGTTTTATTTTAAATTTTGTATTATATCGGTATTTAATCGTTGTATTTTCCTTGCGCTTGGTCCTCACATCAACTTTGATCTTCATCACGTTTTGTATTTTTTGGAAATGCCTACACATTTCACTGCTTTTTCTGTATAGTTCACTTAACATGGTTTTCACACATTTGTTTAGAATGTTAAGCACACTCTTGTTTCAACATCTGTCATGGGACTGTGCACTTGTGCTTCTAAAGATTTTCATAATAAAAACCTACTTAGGCAAACTTGTATTAAAGCTTTTATTGAAAAGGCTATTTACAACAAAACAAATGTATACATGAATACATTACAAATATTGCTCCCATAACCATTTTGCAACATCTACAATGCATCTTTAAACATGTTAGGGCCAGCCATGTGAAGCTTCTGTTGGATAGTTACCTGATTTGCCACCATCAGAAATAAACACTGATGCTGCATTAAACTGCAGAATGTTTCCTTATTGTACAGCTCTGACAGTCACTAAAGCAAGCTAAACTACATTCATAGATCTGTTTATGGGTCCTGGGTTTAATAAATTAAATTGAATCCCTTTTATACTATTTCAGAATGATTGTCCTTGGAGGATGGTGTGAGTGATTTCCCATTTTAGTCCATTTTGAGGCTACAATAAATGTATCTGATAAAGGCCAGTGACGCCCAAAAGGAGACACTTCCCAGCATCAACGAGAAGACCATTGCCGTCAGTAGAGAGTAACCAAAGAACTCCGTACTCTGAACTGGCCCACTCATAGACGATCGGTTTCTGTAGTAAAAAACTGAGTAAACGAAAATAAAAATGCCAGTAGATCCGGTGTTGAGGACACTTCGCCACCACCAGCGGTAATCCTCCCCCGATAGCAGGAAGTAAGTGAGGGCCACGGATATGCAGGCGCCCACTGAGATGAGGATGGCGAAGACACACAGCAGAATTCCATATAAAGTGTAGTGCTCCCGGCCCCAGACGGTGGCAAAGATGTAGTACAGCTCCACAGAGATGGCACTGGGGAAAGATCACAACATTCAACAGAAAGATTTAGTGAACGAGTCCATCACAAAAACTGTCTTTTTATGTCTTATACATCACGCATGTATATGCATCAGAAAGAGCCCGTTTAGTCACTATTTGACTCCTTGCTGAGTGGCAGAGTGATGCTGGTCAGGAGTTAGAACACAACCTCAAAGTATACATTCACTTTCAAATGTGATTAAGGCGAATATAATGAAAAGTACCCAAGAGTAAAAGTACCCTACTTGTTTCCATTTGAAAAAAAATACATTGTATACAATACAAAATACCACTTTTTAAAAGTCTTTTGCAACGACTGCAGTTGTGATTTAGAGAATAGAAAACAAACTTGGGTTGAATGCAGTGTATTTTGTACAGTGAAGCCTGGAACTTACACTATTGGTCATAGACAAATACATTTCCCATAGTTTTTTACCTGAAAGGCAGAAATCCTCCGATGGCCATGTGCACTGTTGCCTGCTTGTACCAGGGCTGTGTGGGGATCTGTCGTGGGATGTTGCGGGTCCGACAGGGCGCCTGGAAGTTTCCAGCTCGATTCTTTCCGACAATTCCCCCAATGACGGTGAGAGGGAAGCCCACCAGCACCCAGGCCCCCAGCAGCAGCAGCACGGTGGTGGCAGGAAGGGCCTGTGTAGAGCCGCTCCACCAGTGCACCGAGTTCACCACACTCCAGGTCAGAAACAGAGGCGCTGGGAGGAGAGTCAGGATCAATTCAACACATTCTGTTTTGAACTTTTGTTCAAAACAGAATGTCTTAAACAGTCCAGTTTAATAAGGCCCAATATGTTTATGCTGCACATTGTTATATCTTTACGTAATAGTATTGCCTTTTTGATCTGTTTTTTTTTTTTGCAGCCTTGCTCTTGTGAGGTACACTGGATTCCCACTATTTGTGCTATACAAAATAATGATTGATTAAACTGCCTGGGAGTAAATATCCACGGGGTCCAGAGTGAGAGAAAGTAGGAAAAACAATTCAAAACAAAAAATACTGTTTAAAAGATGCCCACTAAAAGTTACTAAAAAACAGAAAAAAACAGTATATACACACACATATGTACTGTGCCAATTAACATTCAGAACTAACATTTATAACTAACATTTAGAACTTAGTCTAACCCCAACCCTAAATGACACAAATCCTTTTGAGTAATCAATAACACAATATTTTATAATGAAGAAATAAAGTGAATCTTAGACGGCCTGTATGGGTTCATCAAGTTTGATGAACGCAGCCTAAATGCACCAAAGATGCAAAGGTGCATGCGTGTGGTCAAAATTTAGAAAAAACATGTCAATTTGAATTAATTTCTTATTACAATATAGATGAGTGTCTTTCTTTGTATTTAGTCAAAGCCACTGCTCCAGACTTTAGATTACATTCATAGATAACCTGTTGTAATTTGTTCTTTGATAGTAAAGACGGGTCAGTGTTTCCCACAGATTTGAAAGCAATGTGTGGGGGCCGATTTTGACATTTTCATTTCAAAAGGCTATAACTTAAAAGTGATAAGAGATAAAGACTTTCTGTAAATTGTAAAAATATTAAGGATGGCCAAAAGTTTATGTAGGGAATAAGTGTACCCATCTAATTAGCATATTATGACGTCATATGGTGTTGGATATTGTGGATTTTAGAATTTTCATAAAATGCATGTATTTTTTTTACTGACAGACATATAAATCACTAGGACATGGACACACAGAGAACTACATGCTAAATGTTCAGGGAAATGGTAGAAAATACAAATCATGACTGCCCCAGACTGCTGTGAGCAGGTGACTGCCGCCTCCAGGTGAAGCACGCGCCTGAGTGTCACCGCGACTCTTCTGCTGCTGCTCTCTCTCTCGTCAAACAAACACCAGACAAAGGTTTCTCCAACACGTTACTGTCCCGATGATGGCGGGAGGCACGATAATACATCTGTGAGAGGCACTATTTGCGGAGATTTTAGCGGAGACTTTTAGGTTTGTCCTCCGCAAATCTAACCTGTCCCCGAACCTCCCAATGACAGCCCTGACCCTGAGAAACACTGTTCCCACTGACTCTGTGTAAAGTGTCTAAAGTTAGTGTTTGGTGCGGTCAAACACTCGCACGCTGCCTCGTAGCTGCACTCGCTTCGCAGTATTTTCCGCTCTGATTCAACGCGGACTGGCTCAAATATTTTGAATGGGAGCATGATGTTTTTTGGTGCCAGAGAGGTAGTCTGACATGTCTGCCAACTAGTGGCAGGGAGTATGAATGAATTTTACAGTCTGTTTGACACAATCGGCCGTTTTAAACAGTACAGCAGCTTGTCGACTTAAGTCGACCGTGGCGCCTAATAACGAAACGCAATGTGTGGCGGTAGGTCTTGAATCTGTGGGCCTATGTGTCTGCGGGTACTGCACCCTCAGGCAGATCAATGACATCACAAGGACTGGTTCATGTTCTTCTCAAAGACTGTGAGTGAATAGAGTCTTGAGACTTGATCAACAAATGTGAACACACCCGATATTGAAAGTACAAAAGCTTCTTTTACATAGGCGCGGGATGCTTTGACCAGGTCTGTGCAGGTCTTTGAGGGGGCCTCCCTCTGATGGTCACGTTTCCATAAGAAAGGGACCAGGGGGAGACATTAAACACATGCGAGGTGACAGCAGTGATGTGTACTTTATATCCATTTTACATTTTATACTTACAATTTGAAAAGGCAGCATTAGAGCTTTGTGAGTGTTTTCAGAAATATATGAGAAGGTTTCAAATAAGGTTGCACATCCCAAAAGGCTGATTTAATGGATTCTCTGCTAGATTCCGGTGGAAAACATGAAAAATGGCCAAATCTGCACAGCTATGTTGCTCCAAGTGTCTTTTGAGGCCTTTCATTAAACCGTTTCTTTGTTCTCACGTGACCATATGGGACATCCCTCCACTGGCTGTGAGGGGCATGTGCGAACAAAGCATTGAACTCTCTGACATTACAATTGTACTGAATCTACTGATCTTTGGGTCTTTTATTAGACTTTTGGTGCAACTATGTTAAAACTGAACTAGTCTTAACAACAGTCTGTAGAAATCAGTGATTTTCCTCCTGATGTTTTGGTCTGAAATTCGAAGCGAACATTGACGCCGTGGCAGATGCAGAGAGGAGCATCCTTGAGAGCAGTTTGCAATATGCTGTAGTGTGGCGGTGAGGCTGTGTACATATTTTAAGCTAATCGCATAATGTCTTGGATTTTGAGTTTTTTTAATAGCTTGGCTTTTGCCTCTGTGATATATATTTAGGGTATTTTATATTCTTTTGTGCAAGTTTTGTTTGGCAGGAGGGGAGCTCACCAGAGAACAATGAGGATGTGAGGATGATGTTCCAGACCCAGCGCTGGCCGTTGATCTGAGTGTAGAAGCTGCAGGAGACGTATCCCGACACGCAGCTGGTCAGAGCGTACAGGGCGATGGCGGCCGAGTTTATGGCTCCGTGACGATGAACGTTGAACATCCCCAGCAGAGCCATCAAAATGATTCCTACAGACACGAACAATCAACATGCAGAAGTTTACAGCCCCGGCAGAACTGTATTTTTTGGATAAAATTTAGTAAATTATGAATGATTACACATTTGGCACTAATTTTTAGTAGTTGCATGAAGCAATTTTCTAGTTTTCAAATGATAATGACAACAGAAACGGCTCAAACAATGTTCATTAGAAGTCTCCATCCCTCAGTTCTCAATAGTGTGCATTTCCCCTTTAACATCTTTGAAGCTTGGAGTCTTTTGTGGCAGTTGTGGATGAGGCTTTTTCCCCTCTGATGGTAAAGCTGCCAATTCTTCTTTCATTTCTGGCCACCTTGCATGAACTGCAAACTTGAGATCTCCCCAGAGTGGCTTGGCAAAGTCAAATGCAGAGGATGAATTGCCCTACGGGGATCAATAAAGTGCACCTTCACCTTCACCTTTACCTTTACCTTTACAGTTTGACAACTGCTTTATACAACCACTTAATTTAATTTGTTTTGTAATTATTCATATGATCAAAAATATAGGCTTTTATATATATATATATTAAAATGTGAATAATCCAGATCCTGCACTTGAGACAATACTGGGGAAATTATTCTAACCAGGGGAGTTCATTGTAAAATCTTACAGTTTGATACCATTACTTCCAGACAGACTTTGTTTGATCTTCTTGTAAAAATGATAAATGTTCTACAGTTTATCACAGCTGCAACATTTCAAGGACATTGGTTCTGAAGTTTTTAAACCAAGCTCAATCAAAGAATAATATTTGGCCTTCTCAAGGTATCAACGCAATGAAACCAGGCAAACAAAATAGTACTATTTAAATGGAAAATATAACCAACACTATTGCTATATGTCATTTAAACATGGATTGACTTAAAACAAATTATATATACTGTATATAGAATTAACACACGTGTATCTGGCATTGTCTCTTAAAACTCACCAGTGGCAAGTGTAAGGAACTGTGCCCCAACTCCCAGTATGGCGCACAGAAGGCTTTTGTACGGAGGGAACCTGAACACATCGGTGTGAATGGTTTTCCAGCCGTTGTCTCCCTGATCCAGATCCTCACAGCTCCCCTCCTCTTCTACATTATATCTGCGACAAAATACAATAACAAACTATCACATACCTCATATACATATCTGTCCTAATAAGTTCAAGAGTTTTTCGATCGACAGTGACACATTGGCAGTAAAGCGGCGCAGTGGTTAGCCGGACCACTACTTTTGTTTCCCTTAGAGGCAAAATCATGTACAATACTTCAAGAACAATGAAAAGGGCCTGTGATTAAAGGACAAGAGATGGAAATTAACCCAAAGCTGCAATCCAGTGTATTTCCAGCATCTGCTATTGATAGCGTTACTACATACTGTCCCATCCAATTACATAGAAATAGAAGCAGTATTTTGATGTTTTGTCTATATGGATTTATATTGCCAACATCAACCATGTTCCTTATATTCATTTTGCTAAAATGCAAAAATAATCTCAAAGCAGACCATTACACTTGATAAAGTTAAATTCCTTCGCACAGTGACTGGGTGCTCCCTTTTGAGCAGCTCAGTCACCTCACATAGGAGGAGCTCAGAGTAGAGCTGCTACTCCTCCATGTCCAGAGGAGCCAGGAGGGACTATGTTTGGAGAAGTGTGTGTGAATTGGTAAAACCTGTGTTGCTGCTGCCTTTCAATGTGTGGTTAAAGTATAAAACATCTCCACATTTGAAAAGTTACAATAGTTTTGATCCAATTAAAAAGCCTGAAAAAGTTTGACTCACCTGGCAAAATCATTTTTGAGAACTCTCATGAGAATAATAATCACAAATCCCAGCAGCAGCACGACCAGCACCAGGGAGTTGATGATGGAGAGCCAGTGGATCTCCAGAGTTTTGGGAAAGAAAGAATAGTCTCTAAAACGCTCGCCGCGGCGAGAATGCGGCAATGGCGACTCGAACCAGTGGACACTGTAGGTGTAGGTAACTGTAAGGCCGTGCCCCCCCACCCCCACGCCACCCACCCCAGTGCCCGCTCCTTCCTCCAGGGGCACAGGTTTCACGTCTTTGACAGACACGTTGGCAAAGATGATGGTGTCACCGTTGTATTCGATGTTGAAATCCAGATGCGTCCACAGAACAACCTGCGCCAAAACCACAAAGAAATGTAAGACGTTAACTAGGACACAATGAAGAAAATATGTAGCCAGTGTTGTAAAACTGTATCTATATCATTTATCTGTTTATTCAAAGTCTCTATAAGCTGGGGGATCCAACTTTCAAACTACTAAAAAAAGTGTGTTAACTATATTGTATATTGTATTATGCAGCCAAACTAACTCAAATGGGACTAACCACTTGAACCACAAAAAGAACATAAAAGAACGTAAACAAAGTGTGTTCTGAAATATGCAACATATATATCATATTTACCTTATGACTATGAGGCAAGAAGCCGCTCTCCTCCAAGTATCCCACAAACCCCCAGAATGGAATTTCATCGAGAACAAACTCAAAGTAGTACAACTCTTCAATGGCTTCACGCAGCTGGTCCACCTGTACCAAAACAACCATTGATATGAGACAGACTTCTTTATTCTTGCTCATTATGAAAAGAACCACTGAATAAAAGAAAAATATCTGGTTAAATGTATTTATTTTCTTCAGGGTCAGACAGGATTCATAAACACATAGATATACATTTTCCTATTCACCCCTACAGAGAACTCGTACCCCATCTACACACACATATTCACTTGCCTGCCTGGTCAGCAACACAACTATTTCAACGGCAACACTTATAAATTATATTGTATAGTATCATTACCGTTTATCCTCATTCTAGTCACCAGCATCATGTTTATGCTCTGTACAGTCATGAGGAGAATATAATAGAAGATGGACTTTATTGATCTCACAATGGAGAAATGTACGTGTCACATTTGGCATAAATAGAATCACTCGGGTTTGTGCAAAAGACAGAAGTGTGCAAGCATGTAACGTGTGCAAGATATATTATGGACAATGAAATTAAAACAGTCCAAGTGCAGGTCGTTAAAGTGACTTATTGTACAGTCTGAAGATGTTGTTATTAATAATATTATTATTATTATTTGTTTGTATTATTTGTACCTTCATGTGACAAAATGAACCACAGTAGCCAACTTGCACCAGCAGCGTAACAAAAGATTCTTTATTGTGCATTGAGCCATGAAGCCAAACTATTGTCACTGAACTAGAACTATATCAGGATAAACCCTCAACAGGATGGGCATTGGATAAACCAGGACCAAGACTATGATTTGCTCTTTCAGGAATGAATCCTGCCCTATAAATATATTTCATTGACTTGAAAGCAGACTCCATAACACAACATTGTACCGCATCAGATAACATGGTAATTTTATAAATACTCTTGAATTGTGTGACCAAAAAAACATCCTTCTTTATGCACACAGTTTAAAATCCAGTGCCAGGTCATTACTGTAAAGCGTAAGCAGATAATGTACCTGCTGTTCCGTCAGGGAGAGATGGCAAAGGGTTCTTTTCTCCACATTTTCTCTGAACTGAATATGATACAGCGACTCAGCCATCTGGTCTCCATCCAGCACCTCGCCGAGACTCAGGGACTTGTGGTGCACCTGAAACAGTCACATCAAAGAAACACACTGTAATACAGAAAAATGATTAAGCAAATCACCCAAAACATCCACTTTGTCAAACACGGAACCAGGAAGACCCAGTGTTTTGACATTAGGTACAGAGCAAGATTGTTACAGCAAACCTAATGGGTGCTCTCTTTATTGTATGTGCTAAGTGTAGTTTCAGCTTCCTGTTTGGTTCCCCGTTAACATTCTGAGAGCTGTTTACTCATTGAAAATCTATGCTTAGTTTTGAAATTGCTACTACCAAAAAGGTCCTCATTGTTAAAACCCATTGATAGAGATGGATCAAGATTTTTTGTGATTGAATAAAATGCTTCCAATGTTATTATTCTGACATACATAAAAAGGGGAATGGGAAGAAGAATAAATGTAATGAATCCCAGAACTTTCCTCTGAACAAGATTTTTGTTTTTTTGAATGGATTAATATTGATTGAGCAGCCATAAATTACATTACAATATTCCATCTGCATTGTAATGGATTATCATCATGTGTTATCGTTTACTACAACTCAATAGAACAGTAAGCGCATCTGTAGATCCCATAATCTGTACCATTGTTGCATCCCATGAGTTCAATATTAAATGGAAATTATGTATTAGAAGATTTCATACTTCAAAGAAAACCGCTCATTGTATTTGCCGATTCTTTCTGTGAGCAGATTATTGTGGCTGTTTTCAGCTCAGATAACTTCAGTCTTGCCAGTAACTTTTTATAGCTTCAGGTACCAGTTTTGAATGTTAGTTTTGTGACAACCCTCATCAAATTAGAACTAACCCCAAACAAAACCTGGCTAAATAATTACTAAACTAGATTTTTCTGCATTGTAAAAATAATCACTAATTTCACTTTCACCTGTTCTAGAGTATAAAGTGCATAAAAGCCAAAACAACTCTGACCTTTTCTGGTCTGCACACGGGCAGGGTGTAGAAATGATACGTCTCCTGGGGGTTATGATAAGGCCCCACTTTGTTGACATAGAGAGTCACATTGTCCCCTTGTTTATAGCTGGCTGTGCAGCCTGAGAAAAAGCACAGGATCAAAACGCAGTGCAGCTCTGCGATCCTCCAGAGCCACTTTCCGCGCGAGTGTCCGGTTGTACTCCACATTTTCCTGTAGAGACAAATTAAACTCGACTTAGACAAAACAAACATGACCAAGATATGTTTAAAGACGAGAAAGCAACACCAATAAATGAATGAATGAAACGGAAAGACAATAAATACAATGTCAAAACTGTTTTGTATTATCATCATCACTCATTAATGAGTTCATGAATTGTTAATGAGATTTAACTCAATAGAATACACTTACGATACAGAGGAAGTTAAACATTTCACTACAAGAGATTTCTTTTTGTTTAACGAAGGATCGACTATGAATCAACAGATTAAACATACGTAAGGAATGAGTAACACTATTCTATTCAAACTTCACTGACAAATTTGTGCAAACGTTTGAGGACAGCAGTACTAAAATATGGGTAGTCAAACAATGCCGTTTTCTCATACATTTCCATTGCTATAAAATCCATGTATTAATAACAAAGAATATGTATGTCACTTCTAAAAAATGACAAGTTGAAACTGCTATAACTTATTAAAAGCTTTTCCTTATAGCAACTGTCTATTTTCCATTCAAATTAGCCTTAATGAAAATGGATACTGGGGATCACTGTGATGGCATTTTAGCAGAAGTATTAGCAGAAATATCAGCATAGGGAAAAATAGAAAGGGCTGAATTAATATGTAGAATGTCCTTGCCAGATGTATCAAATATCAAAATAATATACCAACATAAAGGTCATATTGTTTCAATCTCCAACGTGAATGCTGTCATACCTGTCAGCTCGCCTGGCTGCTTTCACCGACCCAACCAACCTGTCTTGTCCTCTTCAAAGCTCCAGGCCCTGCCACCCACTCAAGACACCGGGGAGCAACAGTGGAGCTCAATTCTCAATTTCACTACTGCACATGTTCACGGTTTGATCCAAAAACACCACTTAAATATCCATCAATTGCAGAAACCGAGCAGTCCCGATACGTATACAGCGTTTGTGTATGCAAGGCGCCCACGTCACCTTAAAATAAATGCGATTCACTTCAAATGTCCTCAGAAAAGATGGAACGACCAGAAACCGTACATGTATCTCATCTGGTTTGTTTATTTATCTTCTCCAAGCAGAATTCCTTGGTGTAAATGATTATGGATAAAAACAACATCTGGAAGGAGTGAAAAGCTACCTGAAATGCTACGTTTTTCTGCTGCGGATAGAGCCTGACTTCCGTCTATGGACCACAGCCAATCAGGTGTCTTGTTTTGTTTCCGGGTTGGGAAGGAGAGCGTTCTAATCGCCCAACTGTACTCGATTATATACACATTTTAAGAAATATCCCAGCTTTTAAGAGCATTTTATCAGCTTTTGGTCTTCAAAATATTAACTTATGACGATAGATATTGGCTATGAAATGATTTAAACGCGTGTTGATCGTAATGTATTCGAAGTGAAAACTTGTGATCTCCACTTGTAAATGATCTCTAGCAGATAAAATGTATTCATCACAGACTGTATTCATGAGCAGTCAAACAAGAGCATATGAACAGCTGTTATATTTAGAGAAAAATAAACTCTCATATCTGCTGGAACACTCAATTGGACTTAAAATGATGACTCCTAACCTGCCTTTTCAAATTGGTATTCAGTATTTTTAATATTATTTGTGATGTTTTTATCAGTTGTAAGCATAGACTGTATATTGTAAGGCGCCCTTGTGTGTCCATTATTATAACAATATAATAATAAAACTATAATAATTATAATTACACTTGTTAAAATTATGCTTATCCAAATGCGGAAGAAAATTGATGGACGGGAAAATGCCATGGGGAAAATTGAGTATACCTAAACAGGAGGAGTTCATTCTGCCCATATATATATGGGCAGAATGAAAACCAGATACATCTACTAGTTGTATGGAAAACAAATTGTAATGTAATCTTCAAAATTGCTATTATTAGTGTATGTTGTTAATTTTATGCAAATTCAGATTCAAGCAATTTAATTTAGTTTAGACTTTTTTGTACACATTTAGTTACGTTCATTTTATGCATTCATTTTACGGTTCCTCATTTTCGCGAAAACACTCGCACGGACCAACCAAAGCCGGGAAATCCACTCTTAGCCAATCATATTTAGTGAAAGCCAAAATGCTAAATCTCTTCATCCAATCAGCGCAGTTTTTACTCCACTCTGCACATCTACTGATCTCTCTTGCTCCATTTTTCGCGCGAAAGTCTTTCACTGGAAGCAGACGTGTGGTGTGCACTGCGACTGCGTACAGCTACATTTCAAGGTATTTTCCAGTTGTTCAATACCAGTTTAACAAATCTTTCTCACCATACTATTATAACGATACGAACTTGTATTCACCCATAATCATGGCTAACGCTAGGTTGGTAGCTTTTAATGATGATGTGTGGCAAATGTGGTCTTCGGACATGTTTTGTTGCAACTTACTTTAAACAACATGACATTGGCTGATGAAAATGTAGTATTAAACTTGCCTCTGGACCTATACTTTTCAGATTCGTCAATGCAAAGAGCCTGTAGCCTCCTCACACAATGGGAATACATGGATTAGCAAAACTTGTAGCAGACCAGGCGCCTGCAGCTATCAAAGAACAAGACATCAAGAGCTACTTTGGTAATGCTTTATTCTTGCTCCACACTTAATTTGTTTACACGTTTTGGCTCGTTTGTATAACGTGTTTGTGTATGGCAGGCAGGAAAATAGCCATTGATGCCTCTATGTGCATCTATCAGTTCCTGATTGCTGTGCGTCAGGATGGAAACGTGCTGCAAAATGAGGATGGAGAGACTACAAGGTACAGTAGCTAACTGACCTGTATGCATGACCTAGTTACTTATGACACACTATTGGGTTACATTTTCAATCATAAATAACCTGGACACTGCAGTGAAGTCCTTCATTTGGGTGCAATTTTACACACACACATTACTTGACAATCCAATGACACTTATAACCTTTAAGTTTATGCTGCTCTTTACAGTCATCTCATGGGAATGTTTTATCGGACTATTCGAATGCTAGAACATGGGATCAAACCTGTGTATGTGTTCGATGGCAAGCCCCCTCAGCTCAAGTCACAAGAGGTCTGTAAACGGGAAAACTACTGCATCAAGTACTTGCCCTCTTTAGCATCTAAATGATGTCATGTTTTGGTCTTTAGCTGTCAAAAAGAGGCGAGAGGCGAGCTGAAGCCGAGAAGCAGCTGGCACAAGCACAGGAAGCAGGAGAACAAGAAAATATTGATAAATTCACCAAACGTTTAGTCAAAGTCACCAAGCAACACAATGATGAGTGCAAGCAGCTGCTAGCCCTGATGGGAGTACCTTACATTGAGGTTGGTATACATTGAATCCATCTTAAATCAAATATACTATTATCTATGTCTATTTATTGCATTGGTTCTTTCTGATAGGCTCCATGTGAGGCGGAGGCCAGCTGTGCAGCCCTTGTTAAAGCTGGGAAGGTTTTTGCAACTGCGACTGAAGATATGGACGGGCTTACCTTTGGCACAAACGTCCTGTTGAGGCACCTCACAGCGAGCGAAGCAAAGTAAAAACTTTGACCCTTGTGCTATTCTCCGGTCAAAATGACCCGTAGCGGGTCGCCACAGACAGTTTTGCGTTGTCTATATTATAGATAATAATACTGTCGACATGTATGTGTAAAAGTGATTTTAGGGCTAGGTTGGAAAATGCATTGCCAATATAACAAAAACCTTGACTAATTAGAGCTGCTGATTAGCGATGTTAATACAAGTAATAAAGAATACAATGCAATAGGTAAAAGTCCCATAATGATAAGGGGGCTATATTAAGGTATAAAGTATATTGACACAATATAATCCTAATTGAGTTTTGTCAACAAAGACTCCACGGACCAAGACCAAACAGGGAAAACATCGTTAATCTATGACGTGTTTTCTTGGTTTATTTTAGGAAATTGCCAATCCAGGAATTCCACTTCAGTAAAATGCTTCAGGACATTGGCCTGACAAACGAGCAGGTAACGTCCTTCATACCTCCATCGTTCGGCCTGAAACGTTGAAGTTATTTTTTGTTTTAATATTCAAATATCTTCCATACAACAGTTTATAGACCTGTGTATTCTTCTTGGCTGTGACTATTGTGGGACCATTAAAGGGATTGGTCCAAAACGAGCCATTGACCTGATCAAAACACATGGTAGCATTGAAGAGATTCTGGACAACATTGACTCTAGTGTACGTCATTTCACTCTACTCAAAAATATACTTTTTTTACCTACTGTATTTTCTGTAGTGTTAGGGTTTGTGATGATGTATGTTTTATTGAGCAGAAGCACCCAGCTCCTGAAGACTGGCTCTACAAAGAGGCCAGGGCCTTGTTTCTGGAGCCTGAAGTTGTGGATTGTTCTACAGTGGACCTAAAATGGACTGAACCTGATGAAGACGGCCTCATTCAGTTCATGTGCACCGAGAAACAATTCAGGTACATTCTAGGCTGTTGTCTAATCTATTTAAAGATGAATGTGATTAAATGATGAAATAATGTTGCTCCTGTTTAGTGTTCCCATGCAGGTTACAAATAACTGGTTAGCTGTCTGATCTTCAGACTTTAGTAAATCTGAACAATATAGAGAATTGAAATCCCCCATTAATAAAATATTTCATGTTTTTTTTTTCACGCTGGGGTACTGAGCTTTCATACCACAATAAGATGGTATAAAACATGCAGACTCATCATAGAGAATGGCTTTTCTACCCTCATCAGCTCTTTCTTTACCTGAATATATTATTAGAAAAGTTGCACTGACGGCCTCTTGTGGTCTGATTTGTTTTCTACATTTTACTTTCTTTCTGTTGTGTTGAACAAAGCAGTCTCTTTAACTGTCTTCTATTATTAGCGGGTAATTGTTGTAACATTAGGTTAAGTTTCATTATCAACATCATCCTACTGCGTACTGTAGCAGACATGCAAAAATAGCTCCAGCCTGTTTTTAGACTATTGAGCATACCGCCATAATGTAAACCAAAATTGTTTATAGTGAGGACAGAATCCGCAACGGCTTTAAGAAGATTATGAAGAGCCGACAGGGCAGCACCCAGGGGCGACTGGACTCCTTCTTTACCGTCACTGGATCTTTGTCGTCAAAGCGGAAGGTGAATTCAATACGTCATTTGAATCTATGCCATATGACAGTATAAACTCTTCTCTATGTCAGACAATATATTCTCTTAAACTATACATGATGATAATGAAGCTGTTTTCTTTAGGAGTCCGAGACAAAAGCACCGGCCAAAAAGAAGCTGAAGACTGCGAATGGAACAGCAGGAAAATTCCGCAAAGGAAAATAATACATCGTCTCTGTGTCGACACTCGATGTAAATCCTGCTTTAATCGTAAAAATGGTTTGGCACGATTTAAATATTTTACTCCTTGTGGCAATTAAATGTCTTTTTTTATTTGAATATTTGTTTTTATCTTTGTTTTGCTTATATAATAAACAAAATCCAACATGACCAAAGTGTCTTCAGTTTTTCTGTAATATATATATATAAAGCTGATTTGTCTTATTCTTTTTATAATGCTGCTGTTTTTGGGTTGTGTGTCTTCCAGATTACTTTCCTATAACAAATATTCCCATGACACTACGCACATAGACGAGTGATTTTACAAAGCTTTCCGTTGGTGCGTTTCAACTGAGCACATAGCGATCTCTAGATATGGAAATATAATGCGGCACAGACAAATTATTTCAACTTCCCCTAAATGTAAAACAAACCTACAATGACAACATAATTTATTAGAGGTGGAAGCTGGAGATTCATTCCTGTCACTAAATAAGCAATAAGGTGTGCATCATTTAAAAAAATAATTTACAATTGTAGAGAGTAAGTAGTGAGGAAACTGCAATGTGGGACTCTCAAATAGATATTGTTGTCAGTGGTCCTATATAAATTCCTCTGTCAATAAAAGCAAATAACAGGACCACAATTGAACAAGGGAACAATTCAACAATGCAAAGTGACACAGATGAGTAATATAACCGCTGTGGTGTCATGTGTGGCATTTGCATGTGTTCTCTGGGGATATATAACGCCACCCACACTATTTTATACTTCAGTTTTGACTCCAGACCAAACAAAGGCAAATGTAAGTTTCATATTTTCCAGTCATTTTCAATCTATATTCTTTATTTCTTACAAATGCAACTAGTCTTGCAGTTAAGATACGAAAACTTGAGGTTACTTACCATAACCCCAGTTCTTTGATAACAGAAGTGTTTCACTACGGAAATTTCCTTCTATTGCGGAAACACACCCTAAATATTTATGTACAACTTACTACTACAGAACCTGCTTTGTTTATGTAATCTTTAAAGAAACACAAAATAACAGCATATCATTAAAGCTAGGGTGTCTAACTTTCAAACATAATTTCACCGCAATAAAATCCATCAAACTATTTCTCTTAAAAACAGTTTATGTAAATCTGTCTTTTCAGTCCATTAGATCTAAGCCCAAAGTGTCAAATAGTGACTCTGGGGGTTCTTTCTTATCGTATGTGCACGGTAACATGTTTTCTAATGAGCGTGTGTCATGGTCTGCGGCTTGGAGCTTTAAAAATACTACAGTTGTAATTAATAATTTAATCTTATTTACATTTATTTTGCAACATCCCCATGAAGAGGAGTTTATGCCAAATGATAAAATGAAGCGGTATGTCATGTTTCTTTGTGGTTGCGCCAACGGATTACCACGCCTGGCTCTGAACCCAGACGGTGTTGAAACGCAGACAGGTGGGATCATGAGGCGAGTGGTCGGGCATTTGATATATTTGACGTGAAACTTGTGGGTTCAACAAAGTATAAAGAGAATATTCTTAGTTGGCTCATAATGAAGAATGACAAAACTATTTACAGACGTGAATAAACAGAGCCGCTAAAGGAAACTTGACTGATGTATAAAAAGTAATGTTCTTGCAGATTCTAATGGACAGAAGAGGTGTTTGGATACATGAAAAACATATATATTCTGATTATTGAAATTAGTGTGAACAAGGCCAAATACTATTATATACATTATTCAGTTTGTTTCAGATCAATAACATGTAAAATACAGCAGGTCTTAGATTTACTGTATGGTCAGAGGTGAAGAGATCTATAAACATACTGCTGCTAATGTACAGATGTATGCTGCTAATGTACAGATGTAAACATACAGCTGCTAATGTACAGATGTATGCTGCTAATGTACAGATGTAAACATACTGCTGCTAATGTACAGATGTAAACATACTGCTGCTAATGTACAGATGTATGCTGCTAATGTACAGATGTAAACATACAGCTGCTAATGTACAGATGTATGCTGCTAATGTACAGATGTAAACATACTGCTGCTAATGTACAGATGTAAACATACTGCTGCTAATGTACAGATGTAAACATACTGCTGCTAATGTACAGATGTAAACATACTGCTGCTAATGTACAGATGCTAACATATAACTACACTTACAGGACTTTATACTTGCCTCTTCTTTTGCCAAATGAAAAACTTTTACACTTTTTATTATCATTGTTTCAAGACATTTTATACTTGTTATTGAGGCTAGAGTTAGAGATGTTGTTTTATTTTAATTATTATAGCTATTGTTCATCTTGTGTGCTTTCCTACTGTTCTATAACATGTGATGCAACACTGAAATTTCCCCACTGTGGGACAAATAAAGGATCTCTTAATCTCAATCACTCCTCTCCTCTTCTCTCCTCTCCTTTACTCTCCTCTCCTCCTCTTCTCTTCTCTCCTCTTCTCTCCTCTTCTCTCCTCTTCTCTCCTCTTCTCTCCTCTCCTTTACTCTCCTCTCCTCTTCTCTCCTCTTCTCTCTCTTCTCTCTCCTCTCCTTTACTCTCCTCTCCTCTTCTCTCCTCTTCTCTCCTCTTCTCTCCTCTCTCTTACTCTCCTCTCCTCTTCTCTCCTCTTCTCTCCTCTTCTCTCCTCTCCTTTACTCTCCTCTCCTCTTCTCTCCTCTTCTCTCCTCTTCTCTCCTCTCCTTTACTCTCCTCTCCTCTCCTTTACTCTCCTCTTCTCTCCTCCTCTTCTCTCCTCTCCTCTTCTCTCCTCTTCTCTCCTCTCCTTTACTCTCCTCTTCTCTCCTCCTCTTCTCTTCTCTCCTCTCCTCTACTCTCCTTCTCTCCTCTTCTCTCCTCTCCTTTACTCTCTTCTCTCCTCCTCTTCTCTACTCTCCTCTTCTCTCCTCTTCTCTCCTCTTCTCTCCTCTTCTTCGCTCCTCTTCTTCTCTCCTCTAAGGCCATAACAATATTTAGGTGCAATATGGAATACATATCTAGGATGAGGATAAAACTCATCTTTATTTTTATTCAGTCAAGTGACTTATGTTTTTTTTCTGGTTTTCTATTTGTACTTTATTGGGTGGGGTATTACCTTCTGTGAATAAAATGTTTTATTCCGATCGATCTGTATTTTGTGAAAAAGTAAACCAACAAGAAAGTAGAAAAATAGGAAGTAAAACTAGGAAGTTTGGCACACTTGGTTAGCTTTGCTTAAAGCATAGCAAATGACATTTCTATTCCTTATTCTAGTCTAAAAGATTTGCAAAATGGAAAATATGATGAATGCATTTTAGTAAAAGCCGTGTTCAGTCAGTCATAAGCATAAGGTCCTCTCTCTCATGAGTGAATCTTTATCAGTGAAGCAGATCAGTTCTCAGTCCAGGTTTGAAACTTGAAACTGAAAGCATGTCTTTCTTTGTTTCTCCTTTTACTGCGTCAAGTCTTAGGAAATACTCGAGATGATGTTGCAATGAGGAGACAGACAGATTTAAATGGCAGGATTTTTGTATTAGACGTCAACAAAAGCCCTAAATGCGGTTGTGTAACTAACCTGTCGTTTATAACGTCCTTATGTTATTCTTAGAACTTCACAATCATTCAGCAAATAACTTCACAGAATGTAGAGCGGCATTTCTGCTTTGGGCCACTGTGCGCTCCACTTCTAAAGCTGCAGCTACTTTTACAAACGAGAAATCCTTTCCATTTACTTCACCAACATTTCCCTCTCATTCAGCACTTGGTAAGTATTTTATTTAAATTCTATAATACTTCAAAACCAATTTGATGAAAAGTTATATTTGTCAGCTAATGTGATGATATTGACTTTATGATAAGGGAATGGAACAACACTTAACTTTAAGTCCAATTGTCTATTTACTAATCTCTTTTTTATGTAGGTCATTGATGGTTCAGAAATGGCAGCGATATTGTTCTTCTTCAGCATTCTGTTTGTGTCAGGTAAAGTTTACAGTTTACAAACTTTAAAGCTTGGGTACTGAGCTTTCAAAATCCATATAACTAGTTAATTGCTTTCAAACTAGTTTCCAAATGTAAGTATTTTTGGCTTCGGTCACTTCAGCTTTTTCAGCATCAAACAGATAGCATGATCTGACTCTGTGTTCGTTAAGATGTGAGCAGATGGGAATGTAAAATGTATAATAATATTTTAAACTATTGCACAGACCATATTTGGAATGCAATAATAATAATAATAATATATTTTATTTTTATTGCACCTTCCATGAAACCTCAAAGTGCTAAATCCAGTTTGGAATGCAGTTTGTAAATGTCAAATGATGCTGATTATTATTTTGCTTAATTATTATTCTACACTGCCGCTGGATGTGTTAGCCGCGCCACAGATGGAACATGCTCATACAACTGGCTCAGCTGTCAGTTACTTAAATCAATTTCCGTCCGCCAAAAGTTCTTGTACTAACCTTTGGGCAGGTTTGAAAAGCCTTAATCTGGACCAACTTTACAGCATAAAGTGACTACTTCTAACTACTCTTAAAACTTTATCAGTCCCGGATGAATGAGAGATTACACAGCGTGGGATTGTAGAATTTTCACAATTGACTTGCAATGTATGTCACTAAAATTAAGACTTTTTCTCTCATGTTGAAGGTGTTTGGGCCACTTGTGAGAGAGAACCTAAGCTTCTCGTCACTGCACCGACCTCAGAGCTGAAGGCTTTGAGAGGCTCCTGTTTACAAATCCCTTGTGTTTTCAAACCAGAATCACAGAGAAAGACTTTGGACAACTCAAAACCAATTTACGGCATTTGGATTAAATCAGATCCCAGAGTTGAATTTACACAAAATATCATCTTTAACAGCAGCGGAGCCAAAGCAACCTTCCCTTTGAGAATACTTGGAAACATGGCTCAGAATAACTGCACCACTTTGTTTCCAAACGTCACAACACAACATCAAGACAAGTTCTTCTTCAGGGTTGAGAATGGAGCGTTTAAAGCCACAGCGTCGTGTCAGGCCATTCAAGTCAACGTACGAGGTGAGACATCTTTGAACATCATCATAGTTATGTGTTTTAAAGGTGTTTGATGACATGGTTAAGTTTAGGTTTTCCAAAAGGCTAGAAGGGTGTCAGTAGGTGTCAGTAGAAATATTCCATAAAGTTCCATAGATACTTCTGGATATTCATCGAAACAAATAAAATTGAACTAGACTCATTTTCCAGGGAAGTTTTACAAAAAGTTCAATCCAAAAGCGATGGCCTGGTATATGCTTCCTGAGCTCATTTTGATTTACTACGTTCACAAATTATGGATGATTTTAGGGCTTCAAAAAGTAATTCTTACACTTGCCTCCCCACAATTTTTTGACAAATAAGCTGTGTTCTTACAATCCAGACCAAACAACCGCAATAAGATGAACCCAAGCTATAAGGAAAATGGTCGAGGAATGCATCTTTAAAGAGGATAATATTGTATCTTCTGGTAACTTCTCACAAATTGAAATGTTATATTGTTGCTTCTAAACCCACAGATTCCTGGAGTCCTATAATCACAGTCTCTGGTGCTCAGACAGAGACACAGGTGGTGACTGTGACCTGCTCAGCGGTCACTCCCTGCCCAAGTGCCCCTCCTCGCCTCACATGGAACCTCCACCAAGACTCTGCCAGCGACACAGAGAGAAGCCCAGACGGAACACGTACCACTAAAATCACTCACAGAATAACTCTGACACACTCTCACGATGAGCACAAAGTCAATTGCACAGCTGCGTATCGTGTCAATGGAGAATTAAGGAAGGCTTCCACTACAATCAAGCTCAATGTCACGTGTAAGTCTGGTGTTTCACAGAGAGCGTCTATCCATTTGTATTGTGGAAATGTTTTATGTAATGTAGATGTATTGTGTGTCCTCAGATGGTCCTAAAAACACGTCTGTTGTGGTCAGTCCACCTGGTCCACTGTCTGCAGGTCAGTCTGTGACTCTGAGCTGCAGCAGCAGAGCTCAGCCTCCTGTGCAGCGCTTCACCTGGTTCAGACGCAGCGGCTCACACACACCGGTCAACGTCAGTGCAGGACACACATACAGCTTCAACTTCAGCCTCGCTGCACATGGACAGTATTACTGCGAGGCTCATAGTGCACTCGGAAAACAGGCGTCTCAAGTCATGCTGGTGGGCCCTGGAGGTAACACTTCTGAAATGTGTTGTAACTCTTATGTTGGCACATGTTTTTTTAACTGCTCCAATTTGCATTAGATTGTTTGTATTCCACGTTCAATTACTGCCACAGCTGCCCTGGGACATATAAGGCTGCACCTCTGGTCACTTTTACCACCAATTACTCACAAAGACATTTGTGGATTGCATCAAATGACCACGTCAACCTCCACCAGTAAAGTTATCTATAATATTCTATTATGTTTTAAGAGCATTTAAACTTCTTTGAGACCCAATGGTCTGTGCTTACATAAAGATTTGTTAAATTGTTTCCACAGAGATGGACATTTTACCTTCTTTGGTAGTTTTTGCGGTGTCATATTTGCATAAAATATGCAGAAATATTATGAGCTGTAAAACTATTGTAACGACACTTTTTTGGTCACAACAAGTGTACTACAACTTTTCTAAAAATCCTTTATAAGCAATGATCTTAGAAATGCTCTCACCATCAATCATGTAAAAAAATTAAAGATCCCCCAATATCACTATATTACCCAGCAGGAAAACCTTCCTCCCACCAGTAAAAAAAACATTTGTTAAAACATTTATATTAATATTTTACCAAAGCAGACATTTCTAAACAACACGAAACACCTTTGACTTCCATTGACACCAGTTCTGCCTCCGGCATGAAGAGAAAAACAGACACCAACACCAGCATTTTCATATTTGAACTAAACAAAGACACCATTGAAAAGCTCTGTTTGGTTTTGTAGGCGTGAGAGCAGCCGGCAGCTCGTCTCAGACTGCAGCCATCGCTGGAGGAATCGTTTCAATTCTTCTGGTCGTTATTGTGATCTTTGCCATTTGGTAATGTTTTCATTTACACACAGGCGACATCATGATACTCATTTAACTAACTTTTTAACCTTTTCTTCTCACAGGAAATACAAGTCAAAACGCAAACGCTCCCAGAAGAAAAGAGTAAGAGTAGATCTTTGTTACATAATACATTTTGAAGATTTAAGAATAACTTAAGCTGAGGTTTAACTTTTTCTGTGTGAGTCAAACACGAGAAAGAAGAAATGGGAGTTGACACAAATTCATACAATACACATTTTCTATTTACACAGTAAGAATAAATACAAAGAGCACATTCACAGACTTTCTTTATGGATTCATTTTCAGACCGGTTTCATTCATTTATTCACCATTCATTCCTTGGCCACACTTTCTAATATATCATCACTCTAAACTTACCTGTAACCATTATTAATGATTAGTTACATATTTTCCCTGTAACAGTGTAAACAAACTGGCATAAACGTGAATGTGAGGATACGGCAAGAGTATTTATCGCACAGTTAAACAAACATTTGAAATGACACTAACACAAACCACAGTACAACACATGTTTCTGAACAGCACAGATAAATGAGTGATTATAAGAAGAAAAATAAAGTGTGATAATGATGTAACTGTGTGTAAATGTGTTGTTTTGCGTGTGCAGCAGGCGGCGGTCGCTTCAGGACGTCCACAGAATGATGCTGAGGTTCATTATGGTCAGATCCACTTCTCCAAACCACCACATGAGTCAAAGAGCTCTGTGTGTGACAAGAACCAGGAAACTGTGTACTCTGCGGTGAAAGGATCCAACATGGCCGAGAGCATGGCTCTCTACGCTCCGTGAACAAGTGCTGTTTGAATGTCATTGTATAAAAGCTATTTCTAATACATGGGTGTGTGTGTGTGTATTTGTATTACTATGTATTTGGGGGTCTGTGGTGTAATGAGCACAATGGCTGAAGTTATCCTGAGCGACCACATACGATAAACAAAAATAAAGTACTGCATGATACTAAAAACAAACTGATTTCAGTCTCGTCTGAGGAACTCGTGAAAAATATTAGTATTTCAGGAGTTTTTATAGCCTAAATGTAATAAAAATGGCAAAACCCAATAAAATAAAGTTGGCGTGCCTAACTTTTTCATACATAGTACATTTGTCCAAACGGTGTCTCTGGAGGTGCACAGTCAGTGTAAAGATTTTTAATCATTGAAATCATAAATTCTTTGCTTTTGTTTGATGTTTGAAAGAAAGAAAACATGTTTGTGATTTTTAATTTCTGTTGTCCCATAATTTTAAACTGTTTAAAACGATGAGACTTGGATTTGACTTGAACTTTCAGGCCCAGAGACTCGGACCTGACCCAAGACTAGGGTCGCCCCTGATTAAGTCAAGACCCAGACAACACCTTGACCAAGACCTGGCCCAGATCAAGACCAAACCCAGAACAAGACCAGATCTGAGTCAAAACAAGCCCCAAGACCAGACCCAAGAAACATTATATAGATATACGTATATAGTGAGGATGAGGTTAACACTACAACAAACAATCCCACATTTTGATGGTGCTAATACTTACATTTTTATCACACTTGTGACATTACACAAAAACAGATTGTACATTTTAAACAGTCATGTTGACCTGTATGATGTTCTGGAGCCATGCACCATTTGAATAAACTCGATTGTAGATTCATTAGGCTTATTATCTTCCAGTCCCCCCACATCATGAAATGTCCACGATATGTAATGCCACCCTATTTAGGCAGACATTTGTTAAGTAAGTAAGTAATCTTTATTTATACACCGCCTTTCACAGACCAGAGTCACAAGGTGGTTTACAATTGTTATTTTTTGGGCATTTGTCTCTCACTCTACACAGAGATGGGAGCGGGGCCAGTACAGGAGGCGCATGCCAGACCTGTTGTACATGGGTTTAGTGGTAGGGGAAACTGGAGCACCCGGAGGAAACCTACGCAGACACGGGGAGAACATGCAAACTCCACTCAGAAAGACCCTGTTCCGACCGGGATTCGAACAAAGGACCCTCTTGCTGAGAAGCGAGAGTGCTACCCACTCATCCACCGTGTCGCCCGCATTATTAATAATGTTAAGAACAATAATGATAAAAATAGAGAAAAATTATGAATTATGCAGAGATCATCAATGTTGTTATATTTGTTACACCAGTTTTTCGCCATATAAACAAAGCTTATACTGACTTTATGAAATGTTGTTGTCTTTGCAGATTGCACAGTAATATGTTTGTTCAAACTACGCTGATCTTACTGCTGTGTTTGGGTGAGTTACAAGTTTCTCATGTCCTTTTTTATACAACTGAGAAGACAGAAAAGTGAAAATATTAGTCAATTTAAATCTATGTTTTACAGATTTCTATGTTCATCTATGTTTTACAGATGTGGAGTTTGTGGACAGCTGTGGTTTAGGCAATCATCTGTCCATCACGACTCCAAGTCCCATGGAGGGTCTTAGCGGCTCGTGTTTGAGGATCCCCTGCTCATATCAACCTCTGAGAAAAGGACAGATAAACACTGCAGATCCTGTCGTTGGCATTTGGTACAAACATGAGATTGGTTTTGGTGACAATAAAGTTGAAACATTTTCAAACAGCAAACATCCCAGCAAATCACATCCCATGAACGTCACTGGGAACCTGACGAACCAAGACTGCACCACAATGTTTTACAATTTAAGCCAAGAGCATCAAGACCAATATTTCTTCAGAGTGCAGATCTCCAACTTTAAAGCAACAGCTGTTTGTGATGCTCTTCAAATAAATGTTACAGGTAAGGCAAAAGTTTATCTATGTAGCATAGTTCATACACCAGGCACCTCAAAGTGCTGAACAAAACAAGAGAGAAACAATCACACAAGGCTTTAAAATCATGAAGAATCCCAGGACATTACTCGCCGCATACGGGCACGGGCACAAACCAAACTATATAAAGAGTGAAGATACAGTCCCTCAGTTGTATGACAGCTAAACAAAATGGTTTTTAACCTGGATTTGAACATTGTCAGAGAAGAAACCTGTCTCACATTTTCAGGAAGACTGTTCCAGATATTACACTGCAAAAACTCATGACAAATAAGTAAAATAATTGCTCGAAAAAATTGGGCAAGGGAAGAAAAAGGATTGATGGGTTTCCTCAACCATTTGGTGGATCACTTTTTGAGTCACTATATGAACTTGGATCTGAAACTACCTTATTGGGGCTTCTCTATCACTTGGTTTTAGGCACTTTTTACCATCAAACTGCACCTCCACCATTTGGTAAAGGTCTATAATAGAGATTGCTATTTTATTCATATCTGAGTATTTATTATATTTTTCATTTCATATCAAAAAACAAAACGGCACAAGCGCAGGGGTGCCTTCTGTTGTTTCGTTAGCCATATTTACCTAAGTACCTGTTACATCTTTCTTTTTTTCTTTTGGTAAGAGTTTTTTTCATTTATTTTCAAAATCCTCTTACATGAAAAACAAGCATGAACACAAACAGACAAGTTCAGAACTGAAAGGAAATACATTAAATAATACATAAATACATATTATCAAAAGTTCTTGAAACAGGTTGTTTAATGTTCTTGTCTCCCTCCAGACTCTCCCTGGAGTCCTATAATCACAGTCTCTGGTGCTCAGACAGAGACACAGGTGGTGACTGTGACCTGCTCAGCGGTCACTCCCTGCCCAAGTGCCCCTCCTCGCCTCACATGGAACCTCCACCAAGACTCTGCCAGCGTCACAGAGAGCAGCCCAAACGGGACATTTACCACAAAAATCACACACAACATCACTCTGACACACGCCCATGACAGAAGCACGATCAAATGTAACGCATTGTATCCTGTGACTGGAGGAGACAAAATGGCCGACAGTAACATCACCCTGAGCGTCTTTTGTGAGTGACCTTTGATGGTGTACAATAAACAAGAGGAGAGTATTCTAGTTCCTTCCATACACTCAAATTTATGACATGCATTCAGATTCAGATTCCATTCCATTCAGTGTATTCTTGTGTAGCCCTAAATCCCAACAGTAGTTATCTTAGAGGACTTTACAAAACGCCAACACAGATCAGAGAAACAGTTCAAACACAAGAAATGCAGTGATGTTAAAAACACACAGAGCCATTGGTCCATAAGAGGCAGATGACCAAAGTACAGACAATTCAGATTCAGTTGTTTTGCCTTTTGTAGTTAAACCACATTGGAATACATACATTCCAACTTTTATGAGATATCTATTACTTCTCTGAGCTGTCTGTTCCACACTTGAACAAACACTTTGGACTTACAGAATCTCTCAAACAAGTGTCCCTTCCTACTGTGATGTCAGTAATGTTCATTTCATTAGCGTATTTTACAGACCAAGGTCGCCCAAAGCACCTTACAGTGTTCAGATTTCGCACATTGTTCCATTCTCTTCGAGTACCATCTACTGTATTCACTCACTCATTACAGCTAGACCCTGTTTTAGTGGTAGGGGACACCGGAGCACCTGCAGGAAACCTACGCAGACACAGGGAGAACATTCAAACTCAACACAGAAGGGCCTGTGATGTCTGTTTATTTATGTTTGGCCTAAATCATGTATTGTGTGTATGTTTATGTAATATAGATGTTGTTGTTGTGTGTGTCCTCAGATGGTCCTAAAAACACGTCTGTTGTGGTCAGTCCACCTGGTCCACTGTCTGCAGGTCAGTCTGTGACTCTGAGCTGCAGCAGCAGAGCTCAGCCTCCTGTGCAGCGCTTCACCTGGTTCAGACGCAGCAGCTCCAGCGGCTCCAGCGGCTCACAGACACCGGTCAACGTCAGTGCAGGACACACATACAGCTTCAACTTCACTGCACAAGGAGACTATTACTGTGTGGCCTTCAATGCTCTTGGAAATAAATCCTCTCCAGTCATTTCACTGACCTTAAGAGGTACATTATAAATCCAGAATCCTGAACAATATTAAAACTACTGTACTTTAAACGACATGAAAGCAAAATGTTTTTTTAAAACGATATACACATTGTATAAACATAATCTTAATATTATAACTCTGTTTTGGAAGTTGCTGTACAAATACAAATATTAGCATTATATTTTTATTTTTAATATAATTTTTATAGTCATTATTATCATCACTATTATTATTATCATTATCATTATTGTTATTTTATCAAAATCATTATCATGATCATTGTTATCATTATCATTGATACAATTATTGATTTGGTTTTTTTTGTTATTTTTTTTGTTAGAAGATCTTATAGATTTGAATGTACCGTGGGAGATCATTCTTGGTGCTGCCGTTGGAATCCTGGTGGCCCTCTGCATTGGTTTGTTTGTCTGGTAAGAAGATTCTATTATAATAACTGTAATAATATCCTTAACTTTGTGTAAGAAACAAAAAAAAACAAAGTCTGATGTTCTTTTCAGGTGTGTTAAAGTGAAATGCAAGCGCCCAGAAGACACACAGGTAAAATCTATTCAGCACTTTTCACCACAAAAGTACATTTAACAAATCTAAACTTGCTAATGTGTTACAGCAAGATACAATTGAACAAGAAGTGGACGATACCGCTCAAAATGAAGAGGGTAAAGAGGCTTCTAACGTTAAACCAGACAATGAAACAACAGAGCAGACGGTCAGAGGGTCCCAGGCTCCACCCACAAACACAAGCATCCACTATGCGGAAATCAACTTTTCTAAGTTGAGACGGAAAGAGGTTCCAAACACACACAAACAGGAGCCTGTGTACGCCAATATCCAAGATCCAAAGGCAGAAGACATCAGTGTAGAAGATGGGTATGAATGTCTTTATGCAAAGGTGAAGAAGTCGGCCCAAGCTTTGACAGCGGATTGTGTTGTTTAAAAATTTACAAATAATTGGAATGATGTTGAATATTGGTCACTGCAAGATTGAGGCAGTGAGTCCCGACAAGGATACACACTGTGGAACAAAAGCCGAGGCAGCGTTGGAAAAGCAGTGCATGCTTGACCTGGAAGTTGAATTGTTTTTCAAAAAGAGTGCAAGGTTTACAAAACTTTTGAACGAGACAGTGTTTGTCATATCAAGACGCAGTAAAAACAGAGATTTTCGTGGCGAAATTTAGACTAGGCAGCGGTGGTTGCACTTGTACCACAGTTTATTTTCGAGTTCCTTCAGATCAAACAAGAGGAGACATGGCTTTTTTATCATTTGTGTCAATGTGCATAAGAACAGAGACGTCATCACTTGAGATATCAATGACACATGCCACAGATAAAGATAATAGTAACAATGTGGGACACAACCATAGACTGTAAATATTAACGGACTTAGTGACGCCTATCCTCGCCCTATGTGTCATCACTTTTTTTCTCCCGACTTCTTTTTCAAAGTGGCTGTGATTGGCCCCTTAGACAGGAAAATGTGAAAAAAATGCATTTGCGTATTCAATTTACGAGTGAATAAAGTCCACAGCGGCTAAACTAGACTGATCCAAAAAAAACCACTCCCTTCAGCATTGACCACATCTGGAACGGTTGGGCCTAGAACCGACTTTTGGACCATCCTGTAAAGCCGTTTTTGAGAGGAAAAAAGTTGTTGTAAAAAAAAAAAGCACGTCGCCGCTCATGCTCATGGACTTTTGAGCCGGGACACGCCTCATTGCTCAGATTCCACAATATAAAAACTGTATCGCACAAGATGGATGTGACAGAGGTGCGTGTTGTACTAAATGTCCACAACAGATCCAGGTTAACCGTGACCTTAAAGATCTTGTCTGTCGGGTAGTGAACTTTGTTTGTGAAGGCCATTGTTCACACTCCTCCCACATACAAACATGTGATCAATCATAGTTGTCATCTAACGAAAAACATGTAAATAATATGTACACATTAAACAATATCATTATATAACAATAAGTGTATAGTGACTCAATCTTAACTGAAAATAAAATCACTTTCAGCTGATTTAATTGCTTTCATGATGGTGAATGCAAGAGGTCGCGGACGTGTCAGTGCCCGTCACACACAAAAAGGTGACGGTTGCGTGCGTAAACTCAAATGCTTTAAAATGATGTATCATGCGCCATTGAAACCAATATTGTAGTTTCAAAAAAATCTTCTGCGCTTTGAACATTAATTTGACCCCCTGAACATGCATGAAAAATGTTTGCCCAGAATTCAGAACCGATGAAAAATTAACTTTTTTGATGTTTATTTTTATTTCACTAAGAAAATGCCAGAACAGCACACCCTACAAATGTCAGGTTGCATTGCAGGAGAGGATGGGAGGTCAAGTTTTTCGTAGACATGACATTTTTTTTATTGTGGCCACGCCCCCTAACAAACAGGAAGCCCATAAATTTAATTGCAAAATGGAAAATTGATTCTTTTCACACATGTCAGTTGGAAATGATCTCCTCCTCGGCTGTTTCACCGAAGCCAAACCGACTGACTGGTTCATACTCATTACAATTTCACATTGTTCTATGGCTACGGGAGCACATGATGGTGTGATGGCGCCCCCTCTTTTGTGCGGTGCGGCAAGGCCGTTCGATGCCGCTTGCGGCTTTAATTAATATTTTTCTTTTTTACTAATGTTGGTGTGGAATATTTGTTAATTGGTTTTATTTTGACATTAGTTTTGTTTTTTAGTTTAGTGTCCTGTCCTGTTGTCTGCCCTGCCCTAATGTGTCTCACCCATAGACTGTAAATATGAACACAATATTTCCGCTGTTGAAACTAATGTGCCATCACGTTTGGCTTCTATGGAGCTTTTTCAAAATGGCTGCAGGGCTGGAAAATTTGAAAAATATGCATTAAAATGAGCCCTATTCATCTGACGAGTGCCTTCTAAAGTCCACAGCGGCTAAACTAGATTGGTCCAAAAAACATATAACACCCTCAGTATTGACACACATCTGACCATCCTGTAAAGCCTTTTTCAAGAGGAAAGAAGACGCCATACAAAGGCATTGGGTAATTCTTATTCTGGGTCCACCCCCACCGGCCCGGACTGAAATATGCAGCATGTCAGCACACGTGTTCATGGACCATTTGGAGCCGGGACATGCCCCAACTGGTTTCACCTCTGTCTGTGTCTTTTGGCTGGATTATTATCTGTTTTCATTAAATCATCATTTTTGGCATTCTTGCATTTTGCGTCCTTCCTTCATCTCACCCGACGTGACATGATCGTCAACCCAACGACTGAAGAGCAGTCATCGCTCACTGCATTAAAGGAATTTTAACAAAACTGTAATATATCCACACAGTAATGGTGTCCTCCTCCACAGATGTTGAGTATGTGTCTCTGTTTACATCTAATTACAATTTACAGAAACAAAGGGACCGCACTTTATGCACAGATCACGTGTTTATTCAAAAACAACACATTTTCAACAGCTGTCAGTTTCAGTCGTTTCTTGTTTGGCTCCTGCTTTAGAAAAAATATACATAAAAAATTAGACAACACCTAGTTTGGTTGAATAATATCAAAATGATCCCAAACCATGGAATCCGTTTTCCACGTCAGATGCCTCAAAGACACCAAAATAATAAACAATAGTATATTATTTTCTGATAGGTTTGGATTCAACCGCAACTGGGCCAAATATCAGGAAGAGATGCACTGGAAGACTGATGGTGTAAAATAAAAATGTAATCTTTGGTCTAAACTTAGTTCTAATTACTTGTGCGTTTACATTTTAGAACAGATTCAATTATATGGTCGTTTTACCTGACGTTACACTTAATTTAGACAAAGTGTATACCATGCACTTTACCATTAAATACATCAAGTAATAGTGATCATTTCAAAATAATTTCAGGGACCAGTAAAAATGGTCTTGTGGGCCGGATAAGGCTCTCGGGCCTGAGTTTGACACGTCTGTTTTATGCAGTTTTGGGTTAGCACCAAATCCTGAACAAGTGGACTAAGAATGCAATGCAGGAAAAGTTTATTATTTGTGGATGAAAGGTCAGATATAGACATCTATGGTCTGGTGGATGGGCCTCCGACAGAGCGGGCAGTGTGCGTGCTCCTCTTGCAGCAGGTGGTTTTTACAGTTCTTGCACAGACACAGATGTTTGCAGGGGAGGAGCAGAGCAGTTTTGCGCTGATCTTGACATATCACGCATTTGTCATCAGTTGGGCCATGGTCCTCCAGTCTATCATCTTGCTCTAGATTCGTGGGTTTAGTCAATTGGAAAGAAATCATTTGATAGACGTCACAGAACATTATACGCAGTGGTTGGATCGCTTGCGTTGCAGACTGGAGAGCGTCCACCAGCACCTGATGACTTGCATACGACTGCACCTGGCGAGACGTCCAGCTAAACAAAAGCGAAACTTGTCTTCGGGCCATGTCTGGGTTGACGTGAGCAAAGCATGTAAAGGCTATACCAAAAGCCAACACCGCTATTTGCAGCAGTACGACCACCAGAGCGTACGCACAGCAGCACACCCACGTGACCAGTGTCCATAGCAACCCCACGGTGCCCATAGAGAGCGCAACGTTGAAGGCGACTCCAGGATTAAATTTACCAAAAAGGACCAACTTTCCCAAAACCTCGAAAAACAAAACGAACAGCAGACATTGAGCGTAAACCGATCCTCCGTAGAATGAACTTAGCAGCTGTAAAAAGCCGAGGGATTGTCCAACTTCAGAGGACAGAAATGTTCCCAAATGATCCATGTTGACAAACTTGTTGCCCCGGACGTTACTTTCTTCCTGATCTACGGAAGCCGTCAGGTGATCGATTGTAAACGCAGTATGTTATTGAGGTACCTGATTTTCAAACCACAAAGCGACTATAAAACAGTCGCTTCTATAAATACTATCCACTCCATGATTCCTTTTGTCACATCTTTAGATCTGCTTTTTCAGACAAAACGTCACATTTGTGTTTTGTTTATGGGTGTAGAAACTTTAATTTAATGTTTATTTTTTAGATATAAGTTTTATATATCTGAAGAAGATGACAAAGTCTGGGATCGTGTCTTTAATTCAGACAGAAGACATGTTTTATTGTTGATGGTAGAGACAGGATGAACAAAAATATTTACAGCATGCAAGTGATAATATACAGCATGGAGGAATGAACACCGTCCAATCAGCTTTCGCCGCGATGCCAGTAGCTTGGCCCCTTCAGAAATCAAAACATGCTGTGGAAAAGTACTGGCTTGTGCATATGTTAAATTGATGAGTAAGAACACAGTTGCTTCAAAGTGTCATGAAATCTCTAAATATCAAGTCTTCAACTGTCAAATTGCCTCTATTACATTACATTATATTCCATTAGAATAAACACACAAACACACAAAACAGTGACCAAATGGTTTTGTTTATTTTTACTAATTTTGGAAATGTCGTTTAGCCTTGGCTCAAAACATAAATTATTACAAACAAGGTAAGGTCTACAATATTGAATTGATTTCTGATTTCCTAACTATTAAATAATAGTTTACAATAATAATTAGACTGTATTTTATTTTTATTTTTTGAAGAAGAAGAGCGAATAGAAACTGCTGAGCACCAAAACAAAGAAGCAACTACTGCCCACATTCCCTGCCCCTCAATCTTTCGGCACCGAATCGGGCTGACCAGTCATCTCAACACCATTAATGTTATCTTTCTTCATTTGGAGAATACATGCTCAGAGGAATTATTATTATACAACTCATTTTGTTTCATAAATACATATTGTCCAAACAGAAAGAGTTTTGTGAAAGTGAAATCAACATACTGTCTTCACCTTATCAGGACCCAAGCCATCTATTTCATGAACGACATACTGTACCATGTGAGGCACTAGGTCCATCTAGTGCAGAGGCTCATAGTGCAGCACTAGCATCAGCTGCCACAGTGAGTTCAACTAGAATATGACACATGGATTTGCTGGTTGAAATAAAATTCACCACATTTTTTTATTATCTCTCTGAGGTTTTGTGAAAAGTGCTTCTCTGGATAAGTAACATGTATTTTGATTCAAATGTTGCAGAATGGATCTTGCAGTTTATATGGAGCTCGAACCGTTTTGAGATTTTCGGCTTCATAACAATTAAATAATGAATGTACAAATCCATATATAAAGAGATAGATACTGTATGTGTGGAGACAGAAACACCAGTGTGAAATGGATTGGATAAGACGACTGTCACACTTTCATATAGTGGTTGGTGACAGTGACTACAAAGAGAGAGTGTGAAAATGAGAAGTAAACGACACCATTTCCTCAAAGAGTCTTGCTAAATCTAGAAAAATGAGGAGGAGAAAACATCTAATGAGAATAGAGATAGCTCATGTTTGGATGTAGTCGCACGTACATGCAGACCAAGTGAAAATGCACCGCTGGTTCCTCTGTGTTCTCTTTCCATTGAGTAAGTTTTATTAGTTTTTTATTGTAAAATTTCTTCCAATATTTATATTTAATCATGTTTTATAGCCATGACGACCTGCTGTCATCTTGATGCAGCCATTACCATCTCTCCTCTGAGTTTGGAGGGTCTGAGTGGCTCCTGTCTGCTAATCCCATGTCACTTCACTGTCAAGAATGGATCACAGTACTCTGGCCGAAACACTGCTGGTGTCGTGTGGATTAAATCCAAAAGCCAGTTTAAAGATCAAAATTCAAACGTGGTTTTCAACACAAGCAGAACTGCTGGGAACTATCCAATGAAGATTACTGGAGACATGAGCCAGAGAGATTGTACGACTGAGTTCAGCAATTTAACACAATCGTATTCAGACAGATATTTCTTCAGAGTGGAGGATGGAGACTTCAAGTCCACAGCGTCCTGTTCTGCTATCAATATAACAGTAAGAGGTGAGACACAGTCACGCAAAGGGGAAATCCTGTGATTAACAAGTGTTAACGTGACGCTCACACAGTGTTCGTGTTGGGAGTAAAACTTTACATCACACTAATATATTTCATTTGAAGGTCCCTGAATAAGATAGTCCTTTATTTGTCCCACAGTGGGGACAGTTCAGTTCACAAACACATATACAATATACACATCAAGGCATGCAGCGCACAAATACTTCCGTGCTTGCTCCTAATAGGCAAAGTGGGGTAAAGTGTCTTGCCCAAGGACACAACGACAGCAGACAGTGGGAATCGATGAAGAAGGTAATAGATCCAAGGCTTGAACCCACAACCTTCAGGCTCAATGTTCAATGCTCTACCAACCGAGCCACTGTGGGCCCTCATTATTTCATTTACAAGCATCGTTCATTTAGTCCATACTTGCTTCTCACAGTTTGCGTGTATTTTATGAAAAATATGATCTTTAGTGTGTCTGGGAAACAAGTTCCTTTTTTTTTTAAATAAAACTTGTTTCTGTCTCTGAAGACGATCCCAGAGATGTTATAATCAGTGTTTTGGAACAAAACTCAAAGTTGAACTCAGATACATTCTAAATACATTGTAAAGCAAATGTATAACATTTACATCTCAGCATCTATACAAATGCACTAAATCACACTTTTAGATGGACTTCCCCAACACTCTTCCTGAATTGGTGAAGAAACAAAAGTCACAAGTTTCACCATTTCTCATTGTGTCAAAATAAACAGACACAAACATAATTCTACATTCTCAGATCTCATACAGACTTTTTAGAATAGACCATTCGTGTTGCTGAAACATGGACACATTGGAATTCTAAGGAATTACATTTTGCCAATAAATGATTTGGGCCACAGCAGTTAAACTGACTTTTAAAAAAAAAATCTTTTTATTGTTTATTTGGTTGGGACTGTACATGTTCATGAACACATCACTCCAGAATGTAGACATGGGCTAGTTTGCCCACAAGAGGGCAGCCTTTTGTTTGACTATTTGTCTATTATTTAAAATGCAATCTTATATATTTCATATTGTTAACACATAAAAACAAATCTTTTCAGCAATGAATATACATTCTTTACTCTAAGAAACTTAAACATCCTTTAGCTTAAGTATACAAACACAAGCACACATTATAAAGTTAGATTCTCCAACTTTATCAGTGAACACATTAGGATAACACTTACAATAACCATAGATCTACAAATATATGTCATATTGAATTTAATATAATTTGTTATTGTTTTAATTTCTCAGACTCTCCCTGGAGTCCTATAATCACAGTCTCTGGTGCTCAGACAGAGACACAGGTGGTGACTGTGACCTGCTCAGCGGTCACTCCCTGTCCAGGTGCCCCTCCTCGCCTCACATGGAACCTCCACCAAGACTCTGCCAGCGTCACAGAGAGCAGCCCAAACGGGACATTTACCACTAAAATCACTCACAGAATAACTCTGACGTCTTCACATAATGGCACCAACATCACTTGTTTCGCTGCGTATCCTGTGAATGGAAAAAACAAGACGACTCAAGCGACCCTCGCTCTCAGTGTTTCAGGTGTGGACCCCATTTTCTGTATATGTATCATCATATCTACTAGTCAAATACTTTCTGCAAAACCTATCAATCAATCAACCAACTTTTGCCTAAACTTAGAGACTTGGAGTGCCTAACTTTCAAACATCCATAATGAAATCCATCTAACTCGACAGAAAAGAGAAAACGTGAATCTCTCTGCCCAAAGAGTTCAGTAGTGACTCACCAGACTGTTTCTATTGTATCCAAAATCTAAAGATGAAGACAGCATTATACATTAAAATTATTATTATAAATTAAAATGTTATTATTATTATCTTTATTATTATTGATAAATTAGCTGAACTTACACATACAGTACATGGCTTTGAGCGTGTGTATGGTTCGCTCCCAGACAAATACCTACAACAATTGTAAAGTGCTGGTCTGTGAAAGGCGCTAGATTAATAAAGATTGCTTACATCTTAAAAAAAAAAAAAATAGAAAAAAGATGATCTATTGACTTCATTTAATGTTGAAAGAACAGATGTGACGGTGGTAGCAGCAAACCGTCTGATTAATGCTTTTCTTGTGTCCATTTCTCTCTGAATTTGATATAAGCGGAGAGATTATATTTACAGAATTACCTTCAGTGTGTTTTTGTCACAAACTATCTCTTGACTGTTTTAAAGCCAATGTATTTACCATGTTTTATGTTTTTACCTCTTTTTCAGAGTCAGATGCAATGATTCCCAAAGGTGAAGCTGCTGTTGTGACGTGGCTTCCTGCTGTGATCGTCCCTGTTGCTTTGATCAGTGGTTTTCTCCTTGTCTGGTTTGTGTCACAGAAACATACTATTCAAATGCATTGAATCAGTTTTGCACGATTTTTTGACGCAATGATCTTTTTACAGGCATTTTAGATGTAGGCGTCCACAATTACAGCCCCCTCAGGTAAACCCCATTGACACAATTCTTCCTGATTTCAGCCAATTAAAGATAATTCATAATGATAAAAGCATAATTAACAATAACTCTACCCCTTTATATCTGATACAAAATTAACCTAATAGAAATAAACAAATGTATGCCTTATGCGTGTGATTTATATTTAGACATTGGTATTATGTTAGATCTAAAGTATCAACTGTGTATACTATATGCTTTTATGCTTAAAGCTGGGTTTTCCTTTTTCTGTTCCATAAATAAGACATTCTGTTTGCCCCGACAGAATCTTGAAAAAGTAAAATGTTGTTAACAAATCACCTTATTAAATACTTATTGCCAGAAAGTGCCCTGTGAGTCACATTTTGACCCTTTGGGCTGTGAGATAATGAGTGAGGGGGGTCCACTTTCTGTTTTCTGTCTGAAAAAGCAGATCTAAAAAGGGAATGATATGATGACAGTTAAGAGCTGGTTCCCCACTGTGTCACTGAGAAAGTGTCATTCAATCATTAAATTATTGAAATCTCTTGAAATTGAAATAAAAATTAGATTCCAAAGAGGCGACTCACATGCTACAAACACATTCCAAACTTCAGCCTCTTTATTTCTTCTTTTTTCTCATTTCCAAAGGTCCAAACCACGGAGGCGGTCATTAAGGAACCAGTTCATCCCGAAGACAGCGTCCTCTATGGAGACCTGAGATTCACGCCGCACACGTCGACTCCGAAACCCAAAAACCTGCAGGAGGAGACGGTGTACTCACCAGTCAAAGTATCCAGTAACATCAGGCAGGCTGTGGAAATGGCCGATGTGTACGCGCAAATTAAGAAGAAATAACTGCTTCCAAAACACATGTGGTTTGTGAAGTTTTGTTTCCAGATTTTCAGCGTCAGGAGCTGAACTCAAGTTGCTTCTACAGTTCCAGCAAATACCGATAGGAACCCTTCAGACACCTAAGTGGCAGAATTGACAAACAGGGGACACCCGGAAAATCAGAATATCCTTCAAAAGTCAAATTTACTTCTGTTATTTAACTCACAATGTGAAACTGTGAGGGTTTGGGACTGTAGCCGTAATCAAGATTATATAAAACAAATTTGTCACTTTGGATGTAATGTTTATATCGTGTTTTGGTTTCATATATTAAGTTGAAATATAAATATTATCTCTAGTTTCCCCTGTAGAGCCACGACTTCTGGATTCTCTCTACAGTGTTTGTATAATCATTATCATTATTATAATTATAAGCTCAATAGATGCACATCCTGGTCTGGACTCTGGACTCGTTTAATGTTTTGTTATTCCAGTTTCATTCCAGGAACCTCTTGGTTTTGGCTCCTCTCACTCGTCTCTAACTCACCTTATTATCCCTATACTTAAACTAAATTATCTTAAAGCATCATTGGTGTTTGTGTGTGTGGAAGCAACTGAAAATCTTATAGCACTTTGTCAGTAATGAACAAGAATCCAGGTTAAGACAATATATGTTTTATTCATTGCACTGTAAATACAATGTCGATGTACAGTAAAAATATTTAATCTCAGTTGCAATTATTGGTCCAACATCTTCTGTAAACATCATCTAAATTAAAGATAATTTCATCACAGCTATAAAAGTGGAAAACCTTATTTGGCCATCGTTTCATCTGCTTTAAAAAGACTTATAAATATATCTCTATTTCACTTTGAATCTTGAACGAAAATAAAGTGAACAGATTTGATATAAAATCCTTTCAAAATGCCGTTGGTCTCTGGGTTTTTGTCACTAAACCTTTGCAGTTTTTTCCTTCATGTATCTTAAGGCACTGCTGCAAATAGATGTAGCTTCTCTGTGTATTAAAAACAGCATTGGTGTAAAAACTGAGATAAAAAGTCAGATCTGTAGTTATTGCATTGTTGATTAAGAGTAGCTTCACTTTCCATCCAATATTGGACATTGTATAACCTTAGTATCAGAAAACACCGCCTCAGATCCACAGCCAGAAGGAACACATAGTTAAAATCACCTGAGTTTAGAGACGATTAGATATTTATCGACTATTTCATTTGACTTCATTTGAAATTACTTCAACCGAATGTACGTGATGTGTAGAGATGGGAAAAAAACAAGCTTACTTTAAGAAGTTATGTAGTGTTAAAATGACAGCTGCACATTTTAAAGCACTTTGTGTAGGTGTGTGCTATACAAAAAAACATGCATAGCCTTGGAATTTAGTTTAGGAAGGTGCATCTCGTCTTCTTTGTAGAAATAAAAATATATAAAGTAATGTCGCTAGCTTAGTGTTGTCTGGTATAGAAGAACCAAAGACTTTTATAACTAAGGAATTTGGGGCTGCAATATCAATATTTGTCTTGTAATGTAATTTTCCCATTTTATTCTAGCTTGAAATGTGTGTACAAACATGAAATGTATGTATTCCAAGTCATTTTAACTATTTTCATCATTCCTTTTCCTGATTTGTGCCCTGACTCAGTGGATCTGATTGCACCATTGGAAATCCTTGAATCACAGCGTTAATTGTGCACCCTTTGCTCCAAAAGCCTCAGCTCCTCCTCCACCTGCCCTGGGAGATCCGAGCCCACCTGCTGCGAGAAATAGGCTCGTAATTCCTTGCTCTCCTGCTGCCAGAACGGTTTGGGAACGTCAAAGAGAGCTCCCATATCCACAGAGCTGCCGAGGCCTGCGGTGTCGATGGCGCCCTCTACTGGAACCCACCCGACAATGCTCTTCTTAGCAGCTACGTCATCTGCCTCACGCCCGCACCGCTTGAAGATCCATTCGAGCACCCGGGCGTTTTCACCGAACCCAGGCCACAGGAAGGATCCGCTGGGGTCTTTTCGGAACCAGTTGACGTGGAAGATCTTAGGCAGTTGAGTGGGGGCCTTCCTGGTCTCCATGCTCAGCCAGTGCGAGAGGTAGTCTCCAAAGTTGTACCCGAAGAACGGACGCATGGCAAACGGGTCATGCATGATCACCTTGCCTGTAGGGAAGATATGGAGAAATGTTTGTAATTATGTGAATAAAATGGATATTGCTAACTCTGCACAATAACAAAACGTTTTCTCCAAAAGAAAAAGCCACAGACAAAATCCGTATAGCAAATGACAAAAAAGAACAAGAGCAGAAGTTCATCAGGGGAAAAAAAACTTCTAAAAGATCACTCAAAAATGGAAGATAAATGTTTTCCACATAGTTTATCAAATATGAAACAAAACTATAAAATGAAATGTCTGTACCTTGATGCTCGGCGGCTGCAGTGGCCTCAGATCTCATGGAAGCTCCAACGAACACGCCATGTTTCCAGTTAAAGGATTCATAGACCAAAGGCACTCCTGAAGATACAACATTATTACATGGATCATTCTTTGCTTTATGCATAAACAAAAAACAATATTGTTAGGCTCAGGCAGATGATTATCAGAGACCCCGTGACCTGGTGCTAAAGGCAGTGGCAGAAACTCCACTGCCTTCAGCAAAAAGTTGGATGCTTTTGTGAGAAGACCTGAGCAACAACATCAGCTCCTGACAGGAAGCTGCAGGCTGAGGTGGGAACGCAGCTACAGTTCCCTGGGCACATCACATCAACATGTCTCTGGCCAGACATGATGATGTCTAGTCACGTTGGACCTCGCTGTTCCCAGGGAGGAACACCTCAGGGAAGCGTGCCAAGTACCAGGAGCTGCTGGAGGAGGATTTCTATGAGCCCACAGAGGCCAGTCAAAGATTTCTCTCCCAGCAGGGAGTGATTGGAGCAGGAGGAAGGATCTGCAATCTGCAAGCCATGTCGCAGAGACAGCCACTAGGTGTCGCTGGATGTTAAGGGGTGACCCATATGTAACTGCTGGGACACAGGTCGAAGCCTGATCCACTCGGCCGGGTCACCTGGACGAGGGTGTCTGCTGTGAGACCCAAACCACCCCATGACCCAACAGCACTGTGTCCCAGCCTGTGCCATTCCTAAATACAAAAGTTCCAGTTAAGTAAAACAGTCTCTGACCCTGGGGCCTCCTTCCTCCAAAGATGATGGCGTCGATGGGAACTCCCTCCTCACTCTCCCACTGCGGGTCAATGATGGGGCACTGAGCGGCCGGGGCACAGAACCGAGAGTTGGGATGAGCACAAGGAGTGGGGTTTCCTGAAATGAAAGAGCATGAGCCCATAATTACAAACAGTAGTGTACACAGCCATCAGAACATCACACCTTTTTAAATTCAAACTAATATCCTTCCTTGTCCTTATGTTTTAAATGTAATTAGCTTTTTGGCACTGAATTTAACTTAAGTAGAATAAAAAAATGTTCAATTTAACTTGATCAAACCTGGTATTAAGTTATCTTCTAAAAAGTACAGTTTAATGGACAAGAAAACACTTTGAATTTAGACCACATGGAAATATGTATTTTTTGCAAAGCACAGTTTACCTTTCTTCCATGCTTTCCCGTGCCAGTCTGTGAGAGTGACGCCCTCTGGTGGCGAGTCCAGCCCCTCCCACCACACGCCTCCATCACTGGTCTCTCCTACATTCGTGAAGACTGTGTTTTTGGCGATGGTTGCCATGGCGTACGGGTTGGTTTTGTCCGAAGTCCCGGGAGCAACACCGAAGAACCCGTTCTCTGGATTTATGGCCCTGAGTTTTCCTGGAAATAAAGTAAAAAAGGTCAATTATAGCAGAAAACAAGAATTATTATTAATATATCATTGTCAGTAATACAACTATAATACAACATTCATGGTCAACAAATATGTGTTATTATGTTACACATTCACATTTATTACATCCATTTTTACTCTTACTCACAGACCACATGTTTGTAAAGCAGTTCACACGTTACACAGTCCAGTGCAATATCCAAATCTATTTGTAAATGTTTAAAAATAACAAAAATCTAATGACTGTACATTTGTTTATTGATATTTGAACTCGGCGGTTTTACAAGATTGAACAATTTGAACTTGATTCTTCTGCGGAAAGTTAACCACTGAGGGATGAATAAAAGGCAGATCTTACATTTTTGCTTTAGGGCTGCAAAAAATCATTATATTGAAAATGGATTATTATAGCGTTCATTCTTTCAATTAATCTATTAGTTGTTTAGAATGTAAATATGTGACTTTAGTCTAAATCTTACTCTAAAAAAGGTTTGAGTCACAGGCGTCAAACACAAGACCCACAGGCCAAATGTCGTGTGTTCACATGCTTTTTTGTGGACTTTCAATGATATGATAAACCTGCAGTATTGAATGTGAGAGCAACCCTGGATGCTAAAGAAAACTGGTCACATCAAAATAAGTCCTGTGAATTTCCCTACACTTTCTCGTGGTGCTGTTCACATAAACAACAGCTGACAGATGGTTTTAATTCCAACTAATCAGATTCAGATTCAGATTCATTTTTTTTTTTTTTCTAATCAGTAGAAAAAAACTCAAATTCATTCCTATTTTTCTGTGTTGTATAATTCTCAGCGCTGGTCTTGCTTCAGGGAAAGTGTGATAAAAAGTTATGGTGATTAAACCTTGGCTGTCGAACTTCATCCATGCGATGTCGTCCCCCACACACTCCACCTTCCATCCGGGCAGAGAGGGCTTCATCATGGCCAGGTTGGTTTTCCCACAGGCGCTGGGGAACGCTGCTGCTACATATCGCTTCACTCCCTGAGGGTTCGTGATTCCCAAAATCTGAACGGAAACAAAACACAGACGGATCAAACATAATCTCACAATGTACAATATGTTTTCATTGACCTTCTGTTCACATTAATCCTTCTGTTTCTGTTTCAACTTTCTGTTTTTATTTGACTGTAAGTTGATTGTTAAAATATTTTTCATCAATAGAAGAATCATAACATGTTTTTCTTTACTTAAAAACAAAGAGACAGTTTGTTGCTTAAAATGTAAACCGACAGGCTCTACAGGAAACACAAACACACAAACTGAGTTTATCTGTGGGGCGCATGAGGTCGAGTCTGGGTGAAGCCGGGCCGTGTTAGGGATATGTTTGTCACGTGTTTGTGTGTGTGCAACATCTACATCGGAGCAAACGGATCTACACACAGATAGAATCAAATCAATAAACTTGCACATGCTATTGCACTCACTGTTTTACTTTGCACAAACAGTTCAGCTCCTGGATAAATATAATATACTGTTACATTTCAAACTGCGCCATCGTCTCATTCTGTAACATTAACAGTAAAAGAAGTAAAGGTCTGGGCTCGTAGAACAGAGACAAAAACATCAAAATGTGTTTGTGGAAAGTTTTATAATTCACTGTTTTTATCTGTGACTCTCATGTAGGTATTTTTAGGCATTTTGACCGAATAATTACTATTATTGAGTTATTATGAACAAACTGAGTCCAGCTGCTTGGATTGGAACAAAACAATGAGGCTTTGTATTGTAGATGGGTTTTATAATGTTTACTTTAACTTATTGTTTATAGCATTCAGACTCCAATGTTTTTTAGCAAAATAAATGGTGTCTTGATAAAATTTGCTTTAAAGCAATTCAAGTTCAGTGGATATCAGACTTTGTATGTGCAGACAGGAGAAAAATTATAATCTATGAGCGCGTGTCTTTCTCCATTGGATAACATTGGAAATTATATATTTATCCCATGTAAAACTTTGACTCCGTTTTTAGGGGGCACTAATGGGCCAAGTAAATTTTTCACTCTTGCAGGTGACATGCCATATTTGCAAGAGGTGGTAGCGCTGACATAAAAGTGTCCACTAGGAGGCCACAAAAGTGAACATGTCACTTGTGAGTGTGAAGGAAACAGGTTATCAAACGTGATTTCCATTGATATGAATGAGAGAACGCAGTGCTATTGTGTACTAAAACAATAATCTACCAAATTCTATGTATCTAACTTATCCATGTTTGCTCATTGAGAGTCACAGTCTCACCAGCATGTGCTCTGCCAGCCAGCCCTCGTCTTTAGCAATGCGAGAGGCGATCCGGAGAGCGAAACACTTCTTTCCTAACAGAGAGTTTCCTCCGTATCCGCTGCCGAACGACATGATCTGCCGAGCGTCTGGGAGGTGACTGATCAACACTTTCTCTGGATTACACGGCCATGAGTTCACCAGGGGAGCTGCAAACACAATCAGGATTTAATCAACTATGAAAACAAGCATTCAATGTGGAGTAACACCTGTTTGGAAAAGTAATTGGTTGTAGACAGAAAGCTACACCTTTGACACGTGTCCACAATCAACTGTCTAGAATCACATATTATTCATCTTTTCACTCATAAAAACTGAAATGCACCATGCCATCAACAAAACACTGTAATTTCCGTACTTTAAGCAGCTACTTTTTTTGTTTAGCTCTTTGAACTCTGCGGCTTCTGTATAGCAATGCAGCTAATATGTGTATTATTACTGTGGTAAAGTTGACAGAGCTGAGTCTATGGACTTACATGTAGTACTTTGACTCGTTTTAGTAGCTATAGGACACTTGTTTTTTTAAATAAATGAAGGTGAATGAGTGCAGGTATGGAAGTTAGCGTAAAGCTGTTAAACAATTCATCATTAGATCTTAACATTTGTCTCTCTGCTACATTACAACATTGATTGGCTTTTCAAATGTACAGGTGTGACTTATAGTCCAGAAGGTACTTAATACTCAATAGTTTTTACTGTAATTACCTTTTAGAGGTAGAGGTCGACCCAAAGTGTGTTGACAGCGTACAAACTCAGCTCCTTCTGCTAATTTGTTCATGACTGGTGTTCCCATACGAGTCATTATCCCCATACTGGCCACCACATAGGGAGAATCTGTCACCTGCAACAGCACAGCCAAGAACAACAGTAGGTATAATACCAGAGTCTAACAACAGTATGATATGTCTATGTGATTCCTACCTGAACACCATATTTGGTCAGAGGAGAGCCCACTGGACCCATACTGAAGGGAATTACATACATGGTTCTGCCTGGAATAGAGAGGCACAATGAGAAATGTACATTGCAATTAATAAATGAAATAGGACTTCTGAAATTGTGTGAATTCTCATCACAGATGCACATTCAAATTATGAATTTCTTCAAAAGCTACAAATATGGGGTTATTTCAGAAAGCACAGGGAGGTGCCGGGTCCGTGGTAATTGTCAACAAAATGACAGTTCACTTTTACTTTAAGGTGTAACAACCTCTTCTACAACACTCTGTCCTGTCATTTGTTTTACAGGTTGTTGGCATCAACTTGATGATGATAGAAAACATGATGTTAGCATCGTTAGCATACACATATGGGTTAGCATACACTATTGTTAGCATGTGTATCTCAGCTGTGAGGCCCACTGTCATCTGGGACAGTCCTCCTCTGAACATAAGGGAGAGCCCGTCATGTGACCGCAAGACTCTGAACATTTCCTTGTGCTGCCCTTTTCATATGTTGTTATATACGTATTTGGATTTTAACTTTGTAGCTATAATTCAGCATTCTATCAATTATTTTCATTCATTGTTCAAAAAAGCAAAAAATTGGAACATTTAGCAGAAATTATGTCATGCTCATAGGGCACTGTCCGGTTTCCGAAATGTGCTAAAAATAGTTCCAATGACTGCGCATGCGCGCATGTTTCGGACAAACTCTGTCCGACTCCGTTGAGTACTACTGTGTTCTCCTCATACGCGTGTGTATTTATTTGGGCTAAATCATTGAATCATGGTGACAACAAAACACTGCAGTTCTACGTCATGGTGCTACGTCCCTTAGGACTTCGCTAGTGGGATATCACGTGACCCCCAGGTCACACGCCAGAGAGATCAAAATAATTTGCTCCAATCACCAGCCACCCTCCTCTATAAATGCCCCTGCACAAGGCCGCACCCCCTCTTTCACTCTGGCGCCGTTTGAGATCTACCACAGTACTTACTTCATTCTGAGATGTCTTCCTTGTTCGTCCGAGTTCCCTTCGCCCTCCGGCGTCGGACGTCGTCACTGGATCCAGACGGTGGAGGACTTCACCTCGGTGGGTGCCACCACTCGAGGAAGGAGGAGGATGCGACCCACGTTGTGCCCGCAGATGGACCCGTTCGTCCATTACGCGACACGTGAGTGGCCTAAGCCCCTAGCAGCCAAGAGGCCTGCTCTGGGGTACGACATGTACTGCAGCGGGCAGGACTGGTCCTGGACCGGTGATCGAGGATTCAGTCCGCATGGCCCTGCAGCCCTCCGCATTCGTGTGGCCCGGCACCAGACCTCTCCTTCCCTCCGAGCGGGACAGGATGTCTTGGCGATGCTGGATAGATGTTATGCCAATGCAGCATTGACTAACAACATGGCATTCATCACGGGGGCCCTGGATATGTCGCTCTCTTCTGGACAGGCGCTCAGTGGAGACCTCCTGTCACAGGCGAGGACCACCTCGGCTGCGACTCTGCGCATGTGCCAGACGCTAGCTGTGGATGGTGGCCGCTCCATGGCTGCAGCCCAAGTCGGGCCAGGCACCTTTGGCTTGGGCTGGCTAATATCAGGGAGGCGGAGAGGAGGCAGCTGCTGGACCTGCCCACCTCTCAGATGTCCCTCTTCGGCCCGGACATGCAGGCCTTGGTGGCGAGACTGGAGTCTGCAGCTAAAGACTCGGCTAGGCTAGCCCCGCACCGAGGCGCGAAGCCCACCAGCCATCACGGAGCCGGGACAGAGGCAGAGAACGTTGGCCCGGGAGGCATCCTGACCCGTATCCGCGCTCTGTAATCCATCGTCCCCCCTCGACGAGGCCCCCGGGTCCAGACAGACCCATGGGTGGCTCGCGGGACCAACGCACCCACCGACGACCTCCCTATGGCAGAGGAGGTCGGGGTGGGAAGAGTTCTTTCAATAAAAGCCGTGCGGCATTTCACCAGTACTCGCTATCTGAGTCTCATTTGGGGGTATGTAACATGTCAAATGATTTGAATTCTGATTGTGTTACTTCTCGAGCATATAACGTGGCTCCGCTAGGCCTGCAGCCCCCAGAGAAGGGCGTGCAGCGTGCTACGCGGGCCACGGGCTCCGATTCACGGGTTCATGTTTTGCCCTCCCGGAGAGAGGGCAGGCGGAGGGATCTGGTGAGTGATATATGTGTGTGCTCCAGCCGAACGCGTGTTAGCATCTCTGAGCTACAAGGCTAACACGGGGTTTCCCACTCCAGGGGCTCGTCCCCCCCCTCCATGAGGCAAGAGCCAAGGGGGGGCACAGCAGCCGAGTCACGTGTGGTGAGCAGAGCTACAAGGCTAACACGGGGTTTCCCACTCCAGGGGCTCGCCCCCCCCTCCATGAGGCAAGAGCCAGGGGGGGGCACAGCAGCCGAGTCATGTGTGATGAGCAGTCCCGTACTTATGACGTCGGGCCTGCAGAACACGTGACCGCCCCCGGCGCTCACGGTGTGACGCAGGGGGCCCCCCGGCCCTTTCGGCCACCCCCCCTCCCTGCTAGGAACACCAGGAGAGGGCGGGGCCGTGACGTCTCGTGTTTCAGCTCCCGTTCCGCCCCTCACAGACTTCTACAGCATCTGGAGGGAGCAGGGTTTGGATGACAGAAAACATTGCGCAGGGGTTACGCACTGCAATTCTTCCATAAGCCACCACCATTCCGAGGTGTACGGGCAGTGCGCTCTCAGATACGGGGATCAATAGAGGCACTGCAAGCGGAGGTCTCCTCTCTGCTGAGTCGAGGCGCAGCAGTGGAGGTAGACCCGCAGGACGCCACCAGGGGGCTGTACTCCCCTTACTTCTTAGTGCCAAAGAAGTCAGGCGGGGTGCGTCCCATTCTGGATCTGCGCGTGTTGAACGAGTGCTTTTCCTAACGGAAGTTTCGGATGCTGCCCACAAAGCAGCTCCTCGAGTGTGTCAGGGAGGGAGACTAGATGTCCTCCATAAACCTGACAGATGCGTACTTCCACGTGCCCATAGTGCCAGAACACAGGAGGTTTCTGCGCTTCGCAGTGGGAGAGAGGAATTACGAGTACTTATGCACTCGCGCCTCGGACTTTTCCAATGCGTGGAAAAGTCCTCAGACGCGCTGGGGTAAGAATTTTAACCTACTTAGACGACTGGTTAATTCTGGCATCATCCAGGGAAGTGTCACACGCACTGGGTCCCGTCCCACATACAGCGCCTGGGCTCTGTGGTGAACAGGGAGAAAATTAATAGTTACCTATTGTAACTTAAGTTCTACGATTAGGTGCACGTGTTATCCCACTAGCGAAGTCCGCTAAGGGACGTAGCACCATGACGTAGAAGCAGGCTGCAACCGGCTCAGCGCATGATCTATCTCGGCCTGCAGCTAGACTCTGTGACATTCCGTGCTGCACTGTCCGTGGACAGACGGATCGAGCACTACCCGTCTGCCCAGGGAGGTTCTGGCGGGCCCCAGAGTCCCCGCTCGGCGCCTCAGGTCCCTGCTGGGAATGAGGGCGGCGGCTCATGCTGTGGTGCGGCTAGGCCTTCTCCACATGAGGAATTTTCAGAGGTAGTTCTCACGCCTCAGGCTTCACCCCTCCCGGGACGGGGGGAGGCTGGTCTGGGTTCCCCAAGTGGCAGCATCGAACATCAGGTTCTGGCTCACTCCGGGTCTATTGCGGGACGGAGTGACTCTGCCCTGCGCCGTGTCTCACGTGGAGGTGTTCACGGACGCGTCGCTCGAAGGATGGGGCGGGGTCCTCGGCCAGAGTTCTGTAGGAGGCTGCTGGTCGGACTCAGCCCGTCACATCAACCTGCTGGAGATGGAGGCAGTGCACAGAGTACTGCTGCACTTTGCCCCTCAGCTGCAGGGGAGACACGTGTTGGTGCGCTCGGACAACACCGCAGTGGTCTCCTATCTGAACAGGCAGGGGGGCACCAGGTCCCCCGCTCTTCATTGCATGGCGACGGTGACGCTGCTGTGGGCGGCGCTTCACCTCCTGTCTCTCAGGGCGCGCCACGTCCCGGGGGTCCGGAACGTGGGGGCTGACAGGATGTCCAGGGGGGGGCCCACTCCAGGACGAGTGGGGCCTGGCCCCACGGGTAGCTGCGGAGATCTGGCGGAGGTTCGGCCGTCCAGTGGTCGACCTTTTCGCCAGTGCAGGAAACGCACAGTGCCCGTCCTGGTTCGCCTCAAGGGCCGCGGACGAGCCGCCCTTAGGCGTGGACGCTCTGGCTCATTACCCCTGGCCAGGCGGCCTGTTGTACGCTTTCCCACCAGTGCGCCTCCTGCCGGTCCTGCTGCGGAGGATCGAACAGGAGAGGAGGTCGGTGATCCGGGTGGCGCCGGACAGTCCGCATGCCCGGTGGTTCCCCTTCCTGAGGGGCATGGCGGTGATGGAGCCCTGGGCCCTCCCGGACGAGCCGGGGGCTCTAGTCCGGGGGGGGGGAGGAGCCCTGTTTCACGCCCGAAAATCGGCCGCAGGCTCTGGGTTGGAGGCTGAGAGGCGGAACCTCGTAGGCCTGGGTCTTCCCCCTGCGGTGGTGGAGACCACTCAGGGGGCGAGGGCGCCGTCCACATTGAGGGCCTACGCCACGAGGTGGAGGCTCTTCAGCGACTGGTGCGGTTTTCGTTCCTGGGATCCCAGGCGTTGCCCGCTGGAGGGGGTCCTGGGATTCCTACAGGAGCTCTTTGACAAGGGGAGGGCTGTCGCCACCTTGGCGGTGTTCGCGGCAGCCATTACTTCGGGTCACGACGGATTCGGGGGGTTCACAGCCCGCTCTCATCCGTTGGTTAAACGTTTTCTGCGGGGGGGCACGCAGGAGGAGGCCCCCGCTCCAGAGAACGCCCCCGGTTTGGGACCTCAGGGTGGTCCTTAGGGGGCTGTCGGGTCCGCCTTTTGAACCGGCGGCGGAGGCGAGTCCCGAGTGTGACGCTTTAAGACGGCCCTCTTGTTGGCGTTGGCGTTGCCGTCTGCTAAGAGGGCGGGCGACTTGTGTGCGCTCTCTGTCCATGCGTCTTGCCTGCCCTTTGGTGAGGGCGACGGCATGGTGGTATGGTGGCCCAATCCGGCTTTCTCCCCAAGGTCATCACGTCGGCCTTTAGGTCGAGAGTCATCAGGATTAGGGCTTTCTATCCGCCACCGCATGCCTTCCCCGAGGAGGAGCGGTGGCACCTTCTGTGTCCTGTCAGAATGCTGAGGCATTACCTGGCCATGACGTCGTCATTCAGGTTGGGTGGTCAGCTGTTTGTGTGTCTGGGCCCCAAGAACAGGGGCGCCCCGCTGTCGGCTCAGCGGCTGGCGCACTGGGTCGCCACGGCTGTGCGGCGGGCGTATCAGACGCAGGGTCTGGCCCTCCCGGTGGGCTTCAGGTCGCATTCCACGCGTGGGATGGCGGCCTCTGCGGCCCTTCTCAGGGGGGGTGTCGGTCGAGGACGACTGCCGTGCGGCTTCTTGGGCGTCGTCCTCCTCTTTCGTCCGGTTTTATCTTTTGGATGTGTCGGACCGGTCGGTGGCCCATTCCGTGCTGAGTGCAGCGGACTGAGTTAGACCGTTAGGTCCCTCCTCTGAGGGGGCCTTCGTTTTACTTTCCGCCCTGGTTCAGGAGCTCTTGGGAGAGGCATCCTACAGGTGCGGTACATATATGTGTGTTTGGTCGGTCAGGTAGTCCACGTCAGGAGCCCTTGGGAGAGGCGTCCTGTGACTACGGATGACCTACATCTGTGTTACATGGGGGTATCCTTGGTAGGAGTGGCCCTGTAACACGCATTGTTTCTTCTGCCCTGAGTCCCCTCACTGTGTGAGGACCTTGCTCGGGCGGAGCTCCAATCACCCTTCGCTGGCCTGCTGGGAGTACATGTTCCTACGGCCTCCGCGTTGTGTCCCACTAGCGAAGTCCTAAGGGACGTAGCACCATGACGTAGAATTAATAGTTACCTAATGTAACTTAAGTTCTACGAATAGATGCGTAGTCCCTTAGCTACGAGCCCATCAGGCCAGCCCGGCTTGGCAGAGTTCAAGAGGGGGTGCGGCCTTGTGCAGGGGCATTTATAGAGGAGGGTGGCTGGTGATTGGAGCAAATTATTTTGATCTCTCTGGCGTGTGACCTGGGGGTCACGTGATATCCCACTAGCGAAGTCCTAAGGGACTACGCACCTATTCGTAGAACTTAAGTTACATTAGGTAACTATTAATTATGGTGCTTGTGGGAGCGATTTCAGATACTCTGAAAAGGACTATATGAAAGCAGTAACATTCAACCTGTTCGTTAAACCACACCATCGAACCAGACCAGGACCAGACCAGGACCAGACCAGGACAAGTGCAAGAGGTGGGTGCTTGTGGTCAGCAGAATTTCTCTCATGAAAATGTTAAAAAGGACATGTTTTTTCAAAACACTTCGCTGGACCAACTGTGGAGCCTCCAGATCCAGTCCTAGCTACGTTTAGCTGGGACTGGACCTGGACCGCTGTATCAGGTCCGTCTGAGCTCTTCTGAATGTAGTTAGCCCCATCAATCCATATTAGTATTGTTTGTCCTAATCCAGAATGTATACAATTCTCACACCTGAAGAAAGATGAGAGGGATTTTTTCAACTTTGTGACTATCGGAAAATAAGCACAGACGAAGCGCGTCGGGGTCCGCTTATTATACGGCTTTGTACCAACTGAACACACAAAATAAACTTCTGTCACTATTCATGCCAAAAGGTTTATTTAATGAGTGCAAAGAAAATAGTTCCCAAAGGTTTTAGTTCACCTACTTTAAAAAAGCGATCGCTTTAGTCGCATTAAAAAAGTATTTTTGTCATGAAAACCTTAACAGGTAATTCTGAAAACCTCTGTGCACGTGTGTTGTATGAATATTATATTCTAGCATTAACATTTAAATATGTTGATTGATTGTCGTTTGCGTTTACTGAGTGTGGCTAGCTCCGATAGTTTCTCTCTCAGAGACAGTAGTGGTGTAGCCCGTTGTGACCCCATGGATTTATTATAATATCGGCTGACTGTAGTTAACTAAATGATCAAACTAATTACGAAATGGACAGTACAAAAAACAACTTGATAAATGGAAGTTAATCAGAGCAAAATAAACAAAGAAGGCGCTAACATTGCAATTTAAATGACTAGATAATGTTAGCATAATCCTCACCATTACCTTTTTATCAAATCAAACTTTCTACCAGTTACTGGAAGACCACGACATTCAAGCCAACGTTTTAATTGGTCTACACTATGATCCCTGATGGTTTGATGGTGGAATTTTGCCCCTGGTTTATCATTTTCGTCTAAAGTGACAAGAGGTATTTGATTCATTTTGGCAGTGTTTGTCCGAAACATGTGGGCGGGAGTTGACAGGCGGCGGGGGCGTGTCTTAGTGACGTCATTCAGATAGTTCGCTATTGCAGAGTTACCAAAGTATTAAACTAGCTAGCCTCGGGGAAATGTGTTGTATTATTTATTAATGGGTTATGTATATCATAAGACCAAATTGTAAATGTCATAACATTTAGCATAAACATAAAAGTAAATTGTATTCTAATCATTATTACACTTACAAAGGATCCACGATCTGCAGACGTTTTATGTTTTCCATCACATAAAGTATGTAACATGGCCCACACACCTGCCATGCTGCCGGGGAAGCGCTCCTGTCGCGCCCTGCTCCAGTCCGACTCGCTCATCCAGCTGCCCAGCTGACTCTTTACTCCATCGGCCGGGATGGGGATGGTGTCGCGCTGCTGCTTCGTCACGATCACCGTCTTACTCTCCACTCGAGCCACGTCTCTGGGGTCTGTGCGAGCCAGCCAGCTGCAGAGCACAAAGTGCACCAGGATTAAGGGGTTTAGTGAGTTTCCAGAATGATTGTCTTTGCAGAATTTTTTTTTATGATTATTGCAGATAAATATTGTATGATTATAGAAATGCATTGAGATGGTAAATGCACCACTGTGTTCATGGGTTTAATAATAACTATACACAAACAATTCACAGTGATTGATATGTATATATTATCTTAATCTATTATCTGCTATTTTTGTATATTTCTTACTTGTTCATTCCTTGTGCATGAATAAAGTTTATGAATATGCCATAAAGTTGCTGACTCACCAGTTTTCATACTTGGGCAGCTTCTTGACCATCCCCTCCACCTCCAGTTGTGCCAGGATATTGGCGGTCTCCTCGGGGGTCCCAGTGACCACATGGACCCCTGAGGGTTTGCACTCCTCCACTGCTCCCCTCACGAACTCTGCCACAGCGGGAGGGAGGGACGGGACGGAGGCCATGGACCGCGCCCCCACTGCCCCATGTCTGCAGGACACACATCATACTCTACATGTCTTGGGAATAGTTTCTTTCTGTTTTTTATGGTTTGCTAAAGCGATTAGACAGAACATCATTTTATTTCAAGGTTTTTAAGCAACAAAACATCTTTAACAAGAAACGCCCTTGTCGACATCTGCCAAAGGAAGCAATTCCATTTCTTTAAAAAATAATCTGGATCCAGAGTTCCAAATATCAAAAATAATGTATTACTTGTCCAACTTTCCTGAAAATGTTAATGGACGGAAAGACAGATAAACCAACCCTGGCTACAACATGACTTTCAATATCTGCTGACGGCTGAGACGGTCACAAATCAGTAACCATCTTATTACATGAACTGAAACACACTAACAGCTTTCACTGACGTCATAGAACCCAAACAATATTCATATCAGTACAACAGAAAGTACAAATGCCTTTCATCATCAAATATATAAGTCCTCTGATTTTACAACATTCTCTCATTCTTATTAGTTGAGGAAGTTGCAGCTCAAAACTCCCAATCAATGATCTGAAAAAGTCTTGACATTTTGAAACTGTTTTATTTTATAATGAAAATGACAAAAACAACACCTAAAAGAAATGAAAAAAAGAGCACAAACAGAAGTCTATCTAAAATAAACATAGCTTTGAATGACGTTTATTTACATTTGTGAGAGATTCAACTGAAACTAGGACAAACACGGACTTTGTGGATAAATGAACCACAACACAACAAGAAGCTTTAGCTGTTATTTACTCTCTGTGATCCTAAGCTTTTTATTTTTATTTTTCATTTTTGTTTCTGTAATTGGTATTTCATTGTTTGTATCGATTATAATTCATTAAAATTCATACATCTTGACGTTTTATTCTTTCTATGTGTTTTAAATACATAATTCTCATACATGTGACAGTAATACAGTACAACATTGGCATGAGGTTGTATTAGAGGCCTCACAGTTTGTCCTAATAATGATAATAATAGATCTTTGTGGTTAATGTTAAAAGGTTTCAGTCCCGTCCAGGGCCCGAGGGATAGGGTTAGGCTGAACTTGTGTAAAGAGCGGCGCTAGGTCCTTTGTCACAGACTCAAACCACTGCAGATCTGAACACTGTTAAAACAAGAGGCTGTGTGTCTGCTACAATGGAGGCTGACATGGTGAGTGCGGGCTTTGTTTTCATCCTATTTTGGACCAAAGTCAACTCTATGACCTTTTGGGAAGCATAGAGGAAACTGTACAATGCAAAAGTTAAAATATAAGAGCAAGCATTTATGTATTACCTGGAACATTGATGGACTGCATTGTAAATAAAACTATATTTCAGACTGCTATAATGATCTAGAATGACCTACATGTACAAATGAAATCCTTTATATTTGTATGACCTGAAATAGAAATGTAATAAAGCTGTCGGTCTTAATCAGGGGGTGGTGTCTTGTCAATCAGTTTCTTTAATCATAAATCAATCATATTTATAGCACATTTAAAACAGCTCAACAATAAAACTTTATTGTTAGATTACAAGGATTCACTTTGGAGAAAATGTGTAGAGGATGTTTTACTTTGACATTCAAGCCAGATCAAACTCAATCAAGAAGTTTCATTTATCTTTTTTTATCAATAGCTAATTATTCAAGTGATTTTATCCATGAAAAGTAAGCCTTGTGAGTACGATTCAGGCAAGAGAAGTCGGTTACATCTAGAGTCAACCAAGAATGTCGTTTGTCGGCAACCACCCTGTAATTTGTGCTATAATGTTCTTTATTAAATGACTTGGATCGTACGCGCGCTCTGATTGGTCGATTTGCGGTCCGATATTTTCTTTGATATCTTTCCTCGGTAAAAAAAAAGAATGAGCGACGACTTCGAAGAGCCAGAGGAAGTAATAACAGCAAATAACGACGAAAACACAACTCCTAACCAGTGGGAGCGGGTCCCGGCTCAAAAGTGGCCAAAATGACGTGCGCTGACATGCTGCAATACCACCCCGGGCCGATGGGGGTGGACCCGGAATGAGAATTAGCCAATGCTAACATATAGCATTAGGTGACCTTGGTCTTTTTGCACAGAAAAGGCCGCGGTCTGATATTTCTCTGTACAGACCTCGCTCTAGTTTAATAAGCCGTTAATAATCAGAGTCTAATATCTACACATATAAACATACACACATATACAGAACTCTGAGGCATGAGGGAACACGCAAGGGATTTTGCAAGATGCTAAAAATGAGTAATGATATGGGAGTGTCAGTTCTCCCTATAGGCCTCAAAAAGTTCATAATGTAGGTCGCTGTGTTTGGCCTCTGCTCTCGTCTCTGTTCTTCTGTTCTGGTCTCTGTCTTGTGTGATTAGAAAGAGGAGAGGAGGCTCTGGATTAGCAGATTGTCTCCTGTTGCCTGAAGCCAAATGCTTGACATTCTTGGCCACAGTTAATTACATCAGCCTCAGTTTAAAAGTGCTAACATGTGCTAACTTTTGATTCAATTCTTATGCATGTGCTCCTAGTTAGAACTCTAATTGTTATTATTGCACTGTTCTCAAAGGGGGGGATGGGACCAAAATTATTTGACAGTAAACAAGATGATTTATGAGATTTGTCTAATATTTCTCTAGTAACAGCTATTTTAAGGGAAAGTAACTATGTAACTCTACTAATGACACTAAACAACAGTATGTAGCTTTAAATGCATGGACAATCTAACATTCTGTAACATTTGAAGTTGTATATCCATTGTAATAGATTGATTGAATGGGTCAAATAAAAAAATGACGTGTATTAAAGCTGGGGAACCTAACTTTCAAGCCACAGAAATGGATCTATCTTATTAAACCCATATCTCTCAAAATTTGTTGTATCACAAGTTTAACCTGCATGTATTTTTGGCTTCTGCCACATCCTTAAATCAGCTTTTTCAGACCAAGAGAAGACCTTCTTCACTCAGCCAATCAGCTCTCAGCACAAAGTATCAAATACTAACTCACAAGGCTCTTTATTAAAAGTATGCAAACGTTTACATGTAGAGCTGCAACTAACGATTATTTCGTAATCGATTAATCTATCGATTATTTTTACAATTCATCGAGTAATCGCTTGGCTGTGAATTGTATGGAAAAAAAAAATTTTTCATCACAAAAAGCTAAAGTGGCAACACTCGAGGACGTATTGATGGCGTAAACTTAAAGTAAATGTTTGTAACAGGCTCTTTGTGCTAATTCTGCTATCGGATTGGATGAGACAGACAGATATTCATGAAATTATAAAAACAAAGTCGGTTTTAATCAAAAATACTACATTTTCATGTCATTTTTGCTCTGTTTGAGTCTGTGTGAACCAGAAAACGATTAATCGATTACTAAAATAGTTGTCGACTATTTCAATAATCGATTAGTCGTCGATTAATCGATTAGTTGTTTCAGCCCTATTTACATGTTTTCTAATAAGATAAGATACGATCAAAATGCTAAAGCCACAGGACTCTACTTACGGAACAAACAAAAAAAGCATTTGTGGTAAAAACAAGTTAGGTTCCCCAGCTTTAACAGGCATTTTATGAATTCTGAATGGATGACTGCATGTAACTTTCGGGAAAAAGGAAAAAAATTGTTCAGGGCGCAACTTGTTGGTCACTTTACCTGGACCAAGTCTGCCTCACTTTAGATAAAACACACAGATCTGCTTTGAACATCGAACATTTTCTGACTAGTGAACACATGTTTTCTTGCCTTTTTTCCCCTCAGTAAAAAAGTGAACCAGACATATATTAAGTTTAGTGTGATATTTTGAATGCCATAAATACAGCTAACATTTTACTTTGTACTTATGGCAGATGTGTCTGAAGGTGATCCATGCAAACAGAAAAGCACGTTTTTCTGCCCCTAGGTGTAAATCAGACAAAACCACTCTCAGCAAATGACTTTCATACAACACACCTCCAGAGAACTGAGAGCCAATGGACTTTAACTGCCTTCTCCACGCCTCCTCTGCTCGCTCTGCTCTCTCTCTGCTCTCTCTCTGCTCTCTCTCCTCTCTCTCTGCTCTCTCTCCTCTCTCTCTGCTCTCTCTCCTCTCTCTCTCTGCTCTCTCTCCTCTCTCTCTGCTCTCTCTGCTCTTTTGGACGTCCTGGAACATCGGCTCTGGGGGCAGAGTCTACTGTCTCTGCCCTGGACAGACGCACGTGCTGCCTACATCACACCGCAGAGTACACAGAGTTCAAGGGAGCTTAAAGCAAATACAGAAGTGATGAGTCCAGTCAACCAGGACTCCTCATGCAGGAAAAACAAATATATGATCTTCTCCGCACTTCCTGGTCACTCATTCTCTCAAACATTTGCTTTTAAAACTCATTACTGATCGTCACACCATGCAAGGGATAAAAACTGACCTAAATCTAGTCCATTTACCAGTTTTCCCCTCCATTCAAAACAACTAGAAAACAACTGAATAATGGACAAAATTGCTGAACCAAAACAAAATAACAAAAGACATTTCAGTGTTGCATCACCCTGTACAGAAAAGTTAACCTGGCAAGAGCCAGATTGATGATTGTATAGATCTCTAATGCGTTCTCCACAATATCAATCTGGGACTTCTGCAGGAGAATCCTTTCGGGGAAAGGAGGGATAAGCAGCAGAATACTTCAATCTGATTGGGCGAAGTGACGCTGTGTGCCCGCCTACCAAGGTCGCCGTCCAGAAATGCACAAAGCGCCTCTCGCTGTTCATCTTTCAAAAAAGAAATTGGAGATTCTGCTAAAACTGACTTGATAGCCTCAGCTACGCGTCCGTCCTCCTGCGTAGCCATGTTTGTTTTGCTTCGGCCCGGCACTTCTTGTTTTCGTCAAACCTGGATATCCCGCCCTAAACGCCCAGACTGGCTTGAACACCTTACTCGAAAAGGGTTGGCGGGAGCGGGGCAAGATGTATTCTCGAGTGTTTGTGAACTCACAAATATCGCGAGAATTCAGCTTGCAGGCAAGGTTACAGAAAAGTAGGAATGAGGAGC